GGCATCTTGGTGATGGCCTCTGTGAAGACGATAAAGGCCAGACCGGTGCCCTCGACACCCTAAGAGAACGACAGATGTCCTCAAACTAGCATCCAATAAAATACTGCATACCTTGAGTTTTTTTGAATATTTAGAAACCGAAATCCACTAATTTCCAGAAGATGACTTTTCTGGAAATTACTTACATTTGATTAAGGCTGCAATACCAAAAACAAGATGGAGGGTGTGGTCAAGATTTTTAGGTGTTACTTCTAAATTCTTTTTTCAACAATAGGATAATCACACACAAAATAGGTACAACATCGAATAGTTTCATTTGACTTGGAATGAAGTTTCCATATATGTAATGAAAGACTGGATTTATTGGTTATATGGCAATAGGTACCTCATTAAGAAATGTCTTCATATTACAAGTCTTCAGTTTCAGACCTTGGATGATCTGTGGAGATGTGCTGTTAAGATTCTGTAGAGTGGTTTCATAATTATGTTTTGTGATGATGCCTTCAGGTAGATTGAAAGCATTCATCAGTGAAATGATGTTTCTGGGAAAGCAAAACAGGTGAATCACAATGAAATTTAAAATGTTTAGTCATCTCGTTATAAATCATTATTGTAACCTTTGATCTTTGTTAGCTGTCTATTCCTATCTCTTATGTTAAATGGGTCGGTGCCGACCCGGGTCTTAAATCAGCCATAAAATACCCTCAAAACAATTATTTATCAAACAATTTGTTTCTTACCTCTTTGTTTGTGCATTGTAAACTTACAAAGGGTCGATGCCGACCCTAACATGATAGCATGGTTAAGCTGTAACATGACTGCATGTGATACTGAATGTGCTTAGTCCCTGTGGATAGTGTGCCCCATCCTTGTGTCCTGTGCTGTGTGAGATAAGCTTCAGGCTACTCTCTGATGCCGACCAGGACGAGCACTTAGAAGATAGGTGGATGGATGGACTTTGATCCTGAGAACATGTACCTTCCAAAACAGTCTTCATATTTCTCTGTGGCGCGGAAGCCAATGATGGAGTAGATGACAGTAGCTGAGTAAACAGATGTGAGACCGTTGATCACTGAAAGAGTCACAGCGTCACGTTCACAGTTGTTGCTGGAGGGAAAAAATGAATAAAAATGTTGCATATGTTAGTAGTATACGGCACCAAGTATTATATTGTAAAATGAGCATCTGCATCTGTCATGGGAATCAGGCCTAGACAAAATCTTGTAGTCATGGATACATACTGGACTGGGTTATAGCTGGAGAAGGAGATCAGACCCCCCCAAGCTAGTCCAAATGAATAAAAGACCTGGGCACCAGCATCCAGCCAGGTAGTTGGATTCATGAGTTCGTCCATCTAAATGAACAGAAACACAAATACACCTGGTTTTACGTCAAAGAAATGTAGCTAGATTTTTCATAAGCAGTTAAAATTGGGAGAGAAGCAGTTCTCACATTTGGGGTGAAGAGGAACTTGATGCCACTCAGAGAGCCTTTGAGGGTCAAACCTCTCAACAGGAAGATGGTGAGCACGACGTAGGGAAGGGAGGAAGTCACGTACACAGCCTGAGGAGAGGGCGGGACGATCAAGACTCACATTCTTAATCTGTACGTCCAGGTCACTCACACAGTAGCCTGTACCTTGTTTTAATGGGAGCCCTACCTTGCCAGTGGTCTCAATGCCCCTGATGCAGCAGACATAGAGCACAGTCCAGGCACATATCAGGCACAGGACCATCCACCACTGCAGGCCCCCAGAATCCTCTATGGCTGTTGAGATATTGAGGGTCTCCCGGTACCAGAAGTAATCCATTGGGGAGCTCCTGGCGCACTCTGACACCAGGCCTGCAGGGGGCGACATTCATGCTTTTTGGGTTTTTGGATATCTAAGAACCAAATATGAATGTGAACATTATCACCAGTTTTTCTTAAACCAGTATTGTAATACTGCACCTGTTTTGTTTTCATTGATAGGACATTGACTCCATGGCAGCGGCTCCTGGAAGGAGTTGAAGAAGTACCACATGACCCAGGCAATGATGGTGTTGTAGTACAGTCCAACCAGGAAGGAGACAAACATGGATGCGATTCCTGTTGGGGACATCAACAGAAATGTGGTTTCTTTTGTGTTTATGAGAAATAAAATGTTATGGTCTTGTATGTATTTTTATTTTGACACACAACACTGGTGGATTGATGGATGGCCGGAAGGACGGACTCACCCACACCGGTGAGGTAGGGATGAATGGCCGTCCAGACCCCCACGCTGCCCTTCCTGAGTCGCTGGCCGATGGCAAACTCCAGGTGCAGCAGGGGGATTCCCTCCAGGACCAGCAGGATCAGGAACGGGATCATGAACGCACCTGGGAACAAAGATAATCATGATTAAAAAAAAATAAGGCAATTCAACTCACCGAGTAATATCTCTGCGAAAAATATCTCTGTAAATGCAAAAAACATATAATATGGTTTGTGAAAACAAAAATATAAATTTTCAACAAGGTACTTCACTTAATAATACCTGGCGGGTCAGTTTCTGTCACATGCATTCTTCTGCACGTAAGATAAGATACTCTCATCCATTTCTTGCTTATTAGTAATGAACCTTTGACCATATTTTTTTCTCTTTTCTCCACACTTGGTCTCACACTGACTGCTCTTTTGTCCTCTGTGGTGAACATTATCAGGATTATTGTCATCCTAACTTCCAGTTAGTTATTAACTAGCGGTGTTATTTTTAGAGCTTCGTTAAATTAGATGTCATTGTTATTTACATGGATCATTGATCATGAAATAACCACCATGATCATGCACGGACAAGACAAAATGTTCTTGAAAAATGCTATCTATGGAGTTACCTGTTTCACAAAGCGGGATTTATTTCTTAGCCAGATAACTTGTCGGATTTAAGGTAGCCGGGGCTATATGTAAGTGAATGAAGATGAAGTGCATTTAAACTACGGTACCTTAAATCAGACAAGTCATCTGGCTAAGCAAGTAATTTGGCTTCATGAAACAGGCCCCTGGAGTGAAATCAACATGATGGAAGATGCTTTATTGTTGTTGTTATTATTATTATTATTATTATTAAGGGTCCAAAGCATGAAATGCTTATGGACCATTATTGTTGTTGTTGTTGTTGTTGTTATTAGTATTGTCAATAATAATACAAATAATATTAATAATAATAATGAGTAACACTTTACTCATTAACACTTTACTACTTTAGAAAATGTGTGCATTCGATTTATGTATTAGAAAGATAAGAATGAAAAGTTTATTTTAAAAAGTACCAGAGTATCATGCCTCAGCTTTATATGAAACATGAAGAACACCCCCCAAACACACACAAAACCTTCCTACCTCCTCCGTGACTCTGGCACAGGTAGGGGAATCTCCAGACGTTACCCAGACCCACACAGAAGCCCACACAGGTCAGCATGTACTGAGCCTTATTGTCCCATTTGGGTCTGTCCCCAGCCTCCTCCACCTCCATCTTCTCCAGCTCCTGGTGGGACGGGATCCGCTCCTCCAGACCTGGGTTGGGCAGCTGCAGCTTCATGGTTCCTGGGGATCTCCTGGTGCAGAAGGTGATGGTTACCTGCCTCACTCGGTGTCACTCTGAGTGGGAGTGCGGAGCCCCTCTGTATTTATAGTGACCTTTAGCACCTAAACTACCCCCCCCCCCCCCCACCCAGAAAACTTGTGCATTCATTACTAAGGAATTGTGGACCATCAGCAGTATTAATGTGACAGACAAGCATAAATAATAATTAATTACTCAAGTGGAACATTGTTGCCATCAGCCAATGGCAACACGAAAACTTTTTTTTAAATCATCTTTCGGTCTTAAACCCAGTACTTGATCCTGTTAGATTTTTCAGGGTACAAATGGCATGATGTTTCTCAGCCATTTTCTCTATATGTGGTTCAATACACAAAGCTAATTAATATTAATGAAGTTACTAATTTACATGCAATCATTGAGTGAAGGTGGGATTCAAGTCTCCAATCATATGCTAACCAATGAGCCATATGCTGTCTAGTTCTAGTTTGAAATATTGAAATAAATTTTCAAGCATTCAGTTCTGACTTTCCTTTCACCTTTCACTTTCTCAACTCTGTACATTCATCTAACTTCGGGTGAGCAGATAATCCATGAGGACCTTTTGAGCTACTTCAGATTTTACAAACTACTTTAAAACTGAAAAGTGTTGGCTAAATAGTTCAGTTCTTCTCGTGCTTTGACTGGTTGGTTTCCTTGATTGAAAGACTCATCCAGCAGTTTCACATTAACATTAGTGACACATGCATGATTACCGGAGACTGACCAATCAGCACACAGCAAGATCTCGGCGCTTAAGTGAAATCTATGTCCATTTAATTGAAATGGTAGTTTACAAATTCTGTCTTAGCTCATAGCTTATCTGTCACCCTAGCTAAATGGAATAACAAAAGGTGGGATAGACAAACTAAACACAGAGAACTTCAAAGAATTTATTTTTAAAAATGCATGAGGTTACATTTAGAACTTAGAATCTAATAACCAATCAAGCTTCCTCCAGTGAATAGTCTTTCTTGCCCACCCTATCATATTCATTGTCTTTTAGTTTCTGGCCGCTGAGGCAATAAAAGTCACCTGAGCCACACCCCCTTTGTGTCTCTGACATCAATCACCTCAAACCCTCTTACCAACCAATCAGAGATTTCCAGCAGTTCCACCCACATATAGTAGCTTGGACAGAAAATGGGTACAATGCAGTTTCCTATTGCAATCCATCCAAAATTAAATATGGTAACAGCTGAGATATAAAAAATATTTTCGGTATAAAAAATGCTTGTATGCCTTTTTTAAATACAGCACATCTTTATGCCTTATACAGTAATTTTGTTGCTTCTATTGTTCAAGTAACTAAATAGCACTGACAGTCAGAGACAGAACGTTCAGGTTCAGGAAGTACATATCCTGACCAAGATTTTGTTTCAACCAACCAGTTGAGTATAAAGTGTCACATTCACAGAGTCTGGATTTGTCCTTTCTGGACCTGAACTTTCCATCTCTGCTGACAGTAAATATATTTATTTAATTATGTTGCTGGTTATAGTTCACATTGTATATTATATACATTTCTGCATATTTTGTGATGAAAGGTTACAAGAAACACAACAGAGTGTATGTTTTTTTTTTTTTTTAAAGTGAATAGTCAGTATGATATTTAAAATTATGTATTTAGGTATTATTAAATATATATGCATAATTTTGCTATTTTAGCAAATAGTTAAGGTTAAACATGCCACATTTTATAATTTAACATTTTTAATACAAAGCAAAAACTTTTTCTACCCCATAATGTTATCATGTGTTTGGTTATTTTCATTGCCTTTTAAGTTGAAGTTTAAATTTACAGTACAGCCATCAAGCATGATTCATGCCTTAATGTGTTTGTAAAACATAAATGCTTGTGTGTGTAATAGTCTTACCAAATTACTGAGGTATTCATTAAGCAAAGGTATCATGTTCAGATCGCACAGGACCTATTAACTGATGTAACATTGGCTGTACATGTTTATGTCTTAGTGAATCAATAGTAAAAATGTTATTCTAAGTTATCCTTTGGATGGTGACACTGGAAGTCTGTCTTGTGCACTTGGTTTAAATTATAACTAAATTACAGATTTCCCTTCCCTTACATTGAATTCCGCTCATAAACAATGTGACGTCCAGGTGCACAGGAGTTTCTCTATTGGCTTGAACATATTTGTAATTATATTTTACGTTTAAAAACTGGCTTCCCTGAGTTTGAAACTCATGCTGTCATCTGTGAGTCCATGGCTCAGTTGTCAAGGCTCAGCCTCAATGTGGAAGATTATCGATCAAAAAAAAAAAAAAAAAACAGACAAAGCTCAACAATTTTGTATTACGCAGTCTTCCTTTGAAAGTGTCTTCAGTGTTCATTTTTCTATCATTTCTATTCTGGCAGAGATGGTGGTGACTTCCTTGGTCTTGAATTCCTGACTTGCATTCTTTCTGGAATTCCTGATGAATTTGAAGACAGCCACACAAGGGACAGCAAGACTGGGTAATCCGGCTAAGAGGAATATTATAACGTAGATCCAATTTGGGTAATGCGTCTCTGCCAGAGTCGGGAAGTTCTTCTGCAAAGATTTGAAAGAAATTTAGTAATAGGTCAGTTATTAATTTCCGTACATGGAACTGTGTTGATGCTTGATGTTCTGGGGAGAGAAGCTGTCCTAGACATTCGGTCATATGCCTCTTAATGACCAGGATACGCCCTGAGAGAAGCGTCGTTAGGTAATTTCGTCACTGTGTGTACATCACAGTGCGCTTACACATACCTACATGGTATAGCCTACTGTTTTACATGACTTATTTTTTTTTAAGTAGAAAGAGTACATGCTAAAATAACGATTAAAATACGGTATTATGAGGGTGAGTAATTGTGACAGACATTAAAGATCTGACAGTTGACTACAAGTAAGGGATATTTTTAAATCCCTTCATTGATGCATAATGGAGATTCGTAAGGTATGCCCCTGCTAATCCACTTCAACAGACTGCAAGTCGTATCGTGTAGCTCAATAGAGCTTGGTGCCAGACGTAGGCCTGACATATATGTGATTACTGCCAACCACCATTCACACGGAACCTGACTCCAGTAACACGTACCGATGCTGGATCCCAAGTCTTGTAGATCAGTGTCTCCCTGACTTTGGTGATGAAGTAAAAGAGGAAGATGATTAGCATGATCAATGGGCTGATGACCCTCCATGTTGCCTGCCAGAAGATGTTGGGTTTATGGCCAATCATGAACTCAACGTCCTCGTTGAACCTGCAAAGAAAAAACATTCAGTGTTCTTCAGAGGACTGGCGTCCAAGGAGTCCCACTTGTGCCCTACATTGCCTTGGATTGTGTCTGACTTTGCTCAGGATAAGCATTTGGATGATGTAGAGGTGGAAAATGTTGCCCGATGTGATGGTTCTTCAAGGATATTTGGAGGGGTGGAAAAATACATAGACTGTCATAGGCTATCCTAGGCTATAGCTTAGAGCCCTGGCAAATATCAGAGCCCCATCCCACCACAGGAAAAATGGAATGGTTAGTCAAACTGGCAACACCTGAGTGTCTGTGCTAATGTCAGCCAAGGTCCCCCAGATAAGTTAATCTGCCCCTATATGTTGGCTACAGTTGAAAAATATTGATGAAACCATGAGTATCTACAGCAGTCTTGACCCACCTGTCTATCCCATAGATGTAAACCACAGACACCATCTCGCAGAACGCGATGATCAGTAATGGGATAGAACCAGCAAAGCTGTCAAACAGAGCCAGCCAGTAGTTACCGGACCTCTGCACAAATATCACAGCTATGATGAAGGAGACCAGACACGTCAGACCTGGAACACAGACATAACACTTGCCATTTTTTCCAGTCACAATCCAAATATTGCCTAATAATAATGAGAAGTGTCATTAAATATTCTTTCAGGGTAGATACCTGTAAATACCTCCTTCGGCCAATTTTTAGGAAAGACTTTGAGGTCCTGCAGGGGTGCGACCACACCCTCCATGTTGCCGAACATGGTGGACAACCCCAGACAGAAGAGCATGATGAAGAAGAGGATGGACCACAGTGGAGAAAATGGCATCTTGGTGATGGCCTCTGTGAAGACGATAAAGGCCAGACCGGTGCCCTCCACACCCTAAGAGAACGACAGATGTCCTCAAACTAGCATCCAATAGAATACTGCATACCTTGAGTTTATTAAATAATTAGCAACTGAAATCTGCTCATTTCCATAAGATGACATGCTTACAATTCATTAAGGCTGCAATACCTAAAACAAAATGGAGACGGTCAAATACAATCAAATACAATCTATAAATATTCATCCATCCATCCATCCATCCATCCATCATCTGCCCTTTATTGGGGTTTCGGGTTGCAGGGGCAGCAGTCTAAGCAGGGACTCCCAGACCTCCCTCTCACCAACCACCTCCTCCAGTTCCAGGGAAATATCAAGGCATTCCCAGACCAATCCAGAGATGTAATCTCTCCAGCCTGTGCTAGGTCTGCCCCGGGGTCTCCTCCCGATTGGATGTGCCCAAGAAAACCTCCCTAGGGAGGCGTCCAGGAGGCATCTTAGATAGATGCCCAAGCCACCTAAACCTGTTTCTTTCAATGTGGAGGAGGAGCGTCTCTGCTTTGAGCTCCTCCAGAACGGCCAAGTTCCTCGCTTCAAAGCTGAGTCCAGACATTCTGAAAACTCATTTCTGACGCTTGTATCCATTATCTCATTCTTTCGGACCCTACCCAAAGCTCATGACCATAAATGACGGTAAGAACTTAGATCAACCGTTACATCGATAGCTTTGTCTTCCAGCTCAACTCTTGCTTAACCACAACAGAATGATACAGTGTCAACATCACTAATGTAAAACTATTTAAAAAAAAATATTTTCTCACCCTGACCTCTTAGGGGCTCCGTAGTAATATATTATTAATCTCGAACAAATATAGATGAGAAAAGGTTTCCAGAACTATCAATATTTATTGTTTTGAGCTGAACAAATTGAAAAGACAACGTTTAAATACATGCCACCTACTGGACATACCCAATCATCTTGCACATGCGCAGTCAATGCACAAGGTTTCCGCTAGACATAAAAATCTGGGCTACATGCGCAAGAACCGCAGCCATCCGCAGCCATCCGCAGCCAGCCGCAGCCAGCCGCAGCCATCCGCAGCCAGCCGCAGCCAGCCGCAGCCATCCGCAGCCAGCCGCAGCCATCCGCAGCCAGCCGCAGCCATCCGCAGCCAGCCGCAGCCATCCGCAGCCATCCGCAGCCATCCGCAGCCAGCCGCAGCCATCCGCAGCCATCCGCAGCCATCCGCANCCGCAGCCATCCGCAGCCATCCGCAGCCAGCCGCAGCCATCCGCAGCCATCCGCAGCCAGCCCCTTATGACGATATTTATGTCACGTCCCTTCGTCCTCAACTGAAAGTGGAGTATGAATTGGCCTTCAGTCTGGCAGCTCACCTATGGACTAATTTGACAACATAGCTCCTATGAAGGTGCACCAACCTCTCTACTATGGCAAGGAGGTGACTCATCGTGGGGCAATCTATTAATAATAGATTTCAAATAAAATGAAGGGCGTGGCCATCTTTTATATTTTTAAACAGACAAAATCAGTCCAGCAGACTAAGAAATCTATATATATTTTTATTATGAGAAATATTTCTTGACAAAATGACCCTTTTCCATAAAAGTAATATCTAAACTAGGAAATATTTTGCACAGAAATTCTGAACCTCATATATACCAGTGAAGTTAGGTTAGAGATGAAACAAGGTTTTGGTTTGAGGGGAAACATTCAGGACAGACTGTACCTCACTGAGAAAGACCTGCATATCACAACTCCTCAGGGTCAGATTCTGAATGGTCTGTGGATGTGTGCTGTTGAATTTATGTAGAGCTTCTGTATAATTATTTTCTGTGATGGCTCCCTCAGGAAGACCAAATGCATTCATCAGCTCCAGAATATTTCTAGAAAAAAAAATATTATCCTCATGAGACCTAGATTTGTTTCCAGGTTGTGTATTGGTTTAGAAAAACTGATAAAAGAAGTGTTGCATTGCAGGGATTTAATGTTTTATGTAAAATATACAGTACATATAAATTATACAGGTTTTGCAGACTTGCTGTGTTTTGCTCACTTTCACTACATTTATGTCTAAACCACATTTCGAAGCATGAAGCCTCACTGTCTAGCTCTTCCTGAACTTCGTCAGTGGAAACCAGTTAATTAACCAATGGGAAGTGGGTTCTTTATGACGGACACTTACTTGCTGAAGCAGTCGCCATACTTCTCAGTGGCACGGAAGCCGATGATGGAGTAGATGACAGTGGCAGAGTAAACGGATGTCAAGCCATTGATCAGTGAAATAATCACAGCATCCTGTTCACAGTTGTTGCTGGGAAACAAAGATATTGACCAATTGTGTGATTCCAAATGATATGTTGTGAATGGGACTTTAATGCCCCATGAAGAATCTTACTTCAACCTGTAGCAAAGCTCAGTGTCATAACTTACTGTACTGAGTTGTAGCTGGAGAAGGAGATGAGACCCCCAAAGGCCAAGGAGAATGAGTAGAAGACCTGGGCTCCAGCATCTAGCCAGGTCGCTGGGTTCGCCAGCTCTTTCAGCTGAACAGGATAAACACAAAGGAATTAAGTCCTTGTGAAAGAGACTTAGACGTAAGAAGGGGGGAACATTTTGCACCACCCCCCCGAGAAATTTCCCAAACTTCCCAATGGTCAGTCATGTTTGCAATCATGAATGGAAATGTCTGAGAAGTCTCAGTGGACTTACATTTGGAGTGAAGAGGAACTTTATCCCGTTTAAAGACCCTTTTAGGGTCAATCCTCTTATCAGGAAGATGGTGATTACCACATACGGCAGGGACGAGGTCACATACACAGCCTGAGGAGAGAGTGAGAGGAGAGTGAGTGGTTTAAACCAGAATGTCAGCTCACTAATTTCACAGGCTATATCTGGTTTGGTTGTTAGACTTGGAGATGGGAGCCCTACCTTGCCAGTGGTCTCGATGCCCCTGATGCAGCAGACATAGAGCACAGTCCAGGCACATATCAGGCACAGGACCAACCACCACTGCAGGCCCCCAGAATCCTCTATGGCTGTTGAGATATTGAGGGTCTCCCGGTACCAGAAGTAATCCACTGGGGAGCTCCTGGCGCACTCTGACACCAGGCCTGCAGGGGGCGACATTCATGCTTTTTGGGTTTTTGGATATCTAAGAACCAAATATGAATGTGAACATTATCACCAGTTTTTCTTAAACCAGTATTGTAATACTGCACCTGTTTTGTTTTCATTGATAGGACATTGACTCCATGGCAGCGGCTCCTGGAAGGAGTTGAAGAAGTACCACATGACCCAGGCAATGATGGTGTTGTAGTACAGTCCAACCAGGAAGGAGACAAACATGGATGCGATTCCTGTTGGGGACATCAACAGAAATGTGGTTTCTTTTGTGTTTATGAGAAATAAAATGTTATGGTCTTGTATGTATTTTTATTTTGACACACAACACTGGTGGATTGATGGATGGCCGGAAGGACGGACTCACCCACACCGGTGAGGTAGGGATGAATGGCCGTCCAGACCCCCACGCTGCCCTTCCTGAGTCGCTGGCCGATGGCAAACTCCAGGTGCAGCAGGGGGATTCCCTCCAGGACCAGCAGGATCAGGAACGGGATCATGAACGCGCCTGGGAACAGGTAGAAAGCCAAATTCACCAAGAGAAACAACACTTCTCTGAGTCTGCTGAGCAGATGGATTTAGGTTCCAGTCTCATGCTTGGGGACTCCTTTCTCCCTGCTATGACAGTGTTAGTTTAAGCATCTCTTTGCTCTTCGCTGAGTGGTGACTGGATGTTTTAGTTTTTTATGGGGATAACCATTCTTAAGAGTCACAAGTAATTGTGCTGTTTATGGCTATAATTTAGCATCCAAAAGGTTGTTGGTTCAAGTCCCAGGAGGCATTTGTGTAATAAGGAGTAAACAATCATCTTGACACAGAATGTATATTCCTACCTGTGTAGAATCGCTGCTTAGGCTGAATATTTACAGTGTTAATAGCGGGGTCTCACCACATCTTGATGAGTGGTTATGGAAGATGGATGGATGGATGGATGGATTGCAGGTTCAGGTACCATTAATTATAACCACTTTTTGTGGTCAGACTCATACCATCCAAACTTAAAGATAATCACTAGAAATCAACCACATTGATTATGGAATGATACGAGCTTTTTAAGCAAAAGTATTGTTTCTATGTCGCAAACAAAACAAGATGTTGTTGTTGTACATGTGGATAACCAGCCGTTGAGTGATATTGGTTGAGGAGGTCATGATCTAACCAAATTATTAATAATCAACAGCTGTTGGCTAATGTGTCCTTTTGGGCTTCCCTTTCAAAGCTCTCCTCCATTTTTCTGTTCTGTTGAATTGTTATTGCAGTCTATTGACACATACAGTAAGAGTCGCTACCGTTATAGTTCCTTAAAATGGGGCATTTAACCAGAAAAGTTTTCGTTTTCCAGACCAAACACCATTTTCTATCATTTTGAGCATTTCATACACCATATTGAAAGTTCCCTTCCTACCTCCTCCGTGACTCTGGCACAGGTAGGGGAATCTCCAGACGTTACCCAGACCCACACAGAAGCCCACACAGGTCAGCATGTACTGAGCCTTATTGTCCCATTTGGGTCTGTCCCCAGCCTCCTCCACCTCCATCTTCTCCAGCTCCTGGTGGGACGGGATCCGCTCCTCCAGACCTGGGTTGGGCAGCTGTAGCTTCATGGTTCCTGGGGATCTCCTGCTGCAGAAGGTGATGGTTACCTGCCTCACTCGGCGCCGATGTCACTCTGAGTGGGAATGCGGAGCCCCTCTGTATTTATAGTGACCTTTAGCACCTAGACTACACCCCCCCCCCCCCATCATGTGTGAATGACCGTAAGAATCTGTAAAAGGCCAGTAAGGAATTGTGGTTCATCAGCAGAATCGAAGAGCTACAGTCACAGACAAACGGATAATAATTAATTGATTTTGGAGACGAACAAGAGAACAAAATCTTCCACTGTGAGGGAATTTCATCCATACTTCTTTACGGTGGTAACAGTTGTGGGCAAAACACCTCAGTGAGCTACCAGAATGCAGAGAGGTTTGTTTGTGTTTCCTTTCATTCGTGCTTTAGTTGGGTTTCAGAAAAGTGCATTATGAGTGGAAACTTGTAAACTCTTGTTTTTGTAAACACATTCCCCTAGTCCTTTGCTGAGATATAATACCTCAGATGGAGACACAGGAAATCAAACCATGAGAAAACCATTTTTTGAATTTGATTTAATTTCTGATTAAATGTGATACCCTAGTCGTTAAATCTTCACAACCCAGGCCAGATTTCCATCCTGATATACTAGCAACAGGACTAAAGAGTGACATTTCCTGGTAAATTCCAAGTAGGTGGAAGAACTGAAGTTCTCGCATCCTCAGCACAATAACTTGAATATATGAATAATAGAAGTTTGGGGGATTGTTTCCATTTAGATGATTCCAAAAAATATATATAATTGGTCCTCAAATGAGTATTTATAGACTCAGAGACCATGGCAGCTTCTACTCATGCCATCCAATCTTCATTTCTTCTCCAAATCATCTCCTCCTGTTTTCCTCTTCATGATGTCCAGATGGAGGGGGTGGAGTTTCAGAAATGTTTTTATTTTTTTAAATATTAAAATAATGGGCTGGTTATTATCTCCCACTCTTGACTGATTTGTTGACATGCCCTGATACTGAGCTAATTTGCTTGTTCCTTTGCCCAATCGATTGCTGCAAATATTTGACAGCTGAAGGTGGAAGCTGTGCAGACCAGATGTGAGGCAGAGGGTTTGGAGCCCCGTTTGGGATTAAACCAATTAAGAGGCTACAATGATAAGACATGAAGGTCTCAGTTTACGGGTTAAGGTGAGGTGTGGTGTCATGGGGGTTTGTAACAACATATTATGTAACAACACATTATGTATTAACATTGCGTTATGTAATAACTCGACAAAATGTAACAAATTTATAGACTACGTTATAATTTGATATTGCAACATTACCCTATTATCATCATCATCATCAGTTATTACCATCATTCAATTTGTTACATTCTTTTAAGTTATGTATAATGTAGCATTATTACACAATACATTGTACAAGGTAACCTGCTACATTAAGAAAAACCATGTTAATTTGAACTGATAGAAACAGCTTAATTTCCTTTTTATTCTTTATTAATGATTCCTTCAGTCTTGTTGACATTCTTCACCATTGTACAAAATGAAAGCATAGTCAGGATATGAATAAACCATCAAATCCATATTTCTGTTTGAGTTCATCTTCAGCCATCCTGATCCAATTTTATGTGAACTTGATTAGTCTGCTCATATTGACTAGTCTGTGAAGTAGAGTTTGAGGAGGATTTGAACGGGAAACAGGAACCGCTGCGATGACTCTTTGATGGTGCAGGTATGGTGCAGTTTTAAAAGACTGATTAGATGAAAATTCACAGTGTTTCCTAGTGGGAGAGGATGGGGATTTGAAACCTGATCACCTGCTTGAATAATCGGCAGGTCTTTGTACTTGAACACTGATATCTCCGGACACGTGGACATGGGACTCAATTAATGTGACTTTATGACATCATAAATAACGTGAGATTTTCACTTCTGGATCCCAACCCAGCTGCTGCTAGACAAACAAAGGAGCAGAAGGTTCAGGTTCAGATCCAGACCAAGATTTTAACCAACTCAGTTGAGCGAATGTGACTCTTTACACTCAGCTGGTTGGATGAAACAAAATCTTGGTCTGGATTTATACTTTCTGAACCTAAACTTATCACCTCTGCAGAGAAGATTTGGACAATCATGACAAAACACAGATTTTTGCTGCTCAGTAATAAAACACTTTGTTGGTGGCAAAAAATGTGATCTTAGATTATAAAATAGTATCCGAATTACTGTTTGAATTTTGTTGACTTTTCATGGTTGTGTTGATTGCCTTTCTATCCCCCCCTCGCCCCTAAGAAGGAAGCTTCCCCCCCAATAGACATGGTCCAGCCCTTGTCACATGGTCTTGTGCAAAGTAGACGCATGAAGATAGCATGCATACATGCCAAACGACTCCTAAATTTACCATACTTACTACTGTTCTGACCTCAAACCATGCAGCTCGAAACTGCTGAGGCAACCATGAGATTAACCTCCAGTTTCGTAATATTCACTAAAAAGGTGAGGATATAACAGTAACTTGGTAATGATTAACCCTAAAACATTTAAACGAGCCTCAGGTTCTTGTTCATTATCATCCAGTACTGGTAAGTTGGTAAATTGGCTCCCTGTCAGTGTGGCGTCTCTGTGTCTGTAGCGACCTTTAGCACAAAGACCAGAGGACTCATTTACAGCCAGTCAACAGCATTAAAGAAGAAACAATTTGTGAAAAAGATCTTGATTTACAATTTAGAGAAACTAAACAAAAGGAAGCTTTTTCTATACTTATAAAGAAAATGAAGTACCAAAGTCAGTGATTGTTTTTAGCAAATGGTTTTAATTCACATTAACAAGGATGTATTAATATAAGAGGTGAAATGAGGAGGTAGGGTGTTAGCTCTGTTGCCTCATATTGCTGGGACCTGGGTTTGAGTCTCTGCCGTAACTCCATGTGTGTGGAGTTTGCATGTTCTCCCCCTGTCATCGTGGGATTTCCTCCAGGTGCTCTGGTTTCTCACCACCATCCAAAGACATTCTGAGGTTAATTGGAGTTACCAAGTTGCCCATAGGCATGAATGGTGCGTAAGTGTGCCCATCCTGGGTTGTGCTCTGGACCAGCTCCAACCCTGACCCTGAATAGGACAAGTGGGTATAGGAGATGGATGGGATAGATGTAGTTTAGGATTGAAGTTGGTGCACATCTCTGATTAGGCACCAGGCCATTGCTACACACTAAAAAGGCAACTTAAAGAGCCAGTCACCGGTTTTTTAGGGTCTTTGGAAAATGAACCCCCCCACCCCTGTAGTAGGGGCCGGTCTTTTTTTCAATCTTATGTCCATCAAACAGTGCCAGGACAGCAGTGGGCAACAGTGTTGGCTCATCTTAGCTACAAAAACTACTTCAGAATGACAGAAAAGTAACAATGTAAATAATCAACATAATATACTCCATGGAAAAGTCCAAATAGTTCTTTAAATTGAACTAAACTATAACAGAAGAAGATAAACAGAAAATTTTAGGTACAGCAATAACGTATGGTCTATGTTTAGTCTTTATCTATCTTTCCATCGTGTTATAAAAATACTCAAAATGAGTAATAAGCATGTGACACAGTTTACCAAAATAAAAGCCTCGTTAAAATCAGCCGCTAATGAATAAATCCGCAGTAAATTTTCCTTTGTTATTGTGTGAATTTCTGTGACTTTTTAAACTTCCTGTGAACCCGTTCTGTTCCGATGACAAGTCTCTGAAAACACTCCAGTCTCCTTTTGGTTATCGAGCCTCACTAAGACATTCAGCTGGTTTCTATGGGTCCGAGCTCATCTGTACTTTATCAGAGATGGTGCTGATAGAGTCTGATTTGTGCTCATTGCTCCTCGAGCAGCAGCGCCTCCTGATGAATTTAAACAAGGCTGTGGCGGGAATCACTGTGCTGGGAACCCCGGCCAGGATGACGATTATTGCGTAGATCCAGCCTGGATACGGAATCTTCTCCTGGGTGGGAAAGCTTGGCTGAAAATAAACAAAAGTAATTCAGCACTGATTCGCCAAACATCGTGATAGACTTTGGCAAGTTTTTATCTCAATTTGGTGTTTCTGTCTATGTATATTCTATTTATGTTGCAAAAAAAAATTTAGCAACAGAATTATCATTAGGAAAAATGCAAAATATATGTATTTAACTTTATTTGCCTTAATTTGTAGATACCAGCCGGTCAGTTGACACTAAAAAAAATAGCTAGTTATGATAAAAATTATTATGATTTTCATTAGTAACACATTTGTACAAAATGGATTTTCGCTGATTAATTTCATAGGCTAAGAGACCAAAGATAGCATGACTTTGAAACGCTGCTGTTGCACATACCGAATCAGGGTTCCAGACAATGTAGGTGAGTTCTGCACTGACTTTGGTGATGAAGTAGAAGAGGAAGATGACCAGCATGATCAATGGGCTGATGACCCTCCATGTCGACTGCCAGAAGATGTTGGGCTTGTGGCCAATCATGAACTTGATGTCCTCATTGAACCTTAGGGAACACAAACACAAAAAAATGATTGTTTTTCCATAGCATTTGTATCCCTCAGTGCAGCTAGTTACGATTGAACAGAATCTTTATCTGGAGTTAGAAGTGGGCTGGACTTACCTGTCTATCCCGTAGATGTAAACCACAGACACCATCTCGCAGAACGCGATGATCAGTAATGGGATAGAACCAGCAAAGCTGTCAAACAGAGCCAGCCAGTAGTTACCGGACCTCTGCACAAATATCACGGCTATGATGAAGGAGACCAGACATATTGAACCTGGAACATATATATGAAAACATAATAAGGTTAAACATTCATAATTGGATTTGTGATTCTGTTTGAAAGGATGTATGAGAATAAAGCTGAAGTACTAAACATTGCATGGATGTTCACTGGGTTTTGGGACACTCACCTGTGATGGCTTCCTTGGGCCACTTTTTGGGAATGATTTTGAGGTCTTGCAGAGGCACTAGCACGCCCTCAATGTTGCCGAACATAGACGACAGCCCCAGACAGAAGAGCATGATGAAGAAGAGGATGGACCACAGTGGAGAGACTGGCATCTTGGTGATGGCCTCTGTGAAGACGATGAAGGCCAGACCGGTGCCCTCGACACCCTAAGGGTGCAACACCAGAGTGCTAATGTTATACACTGCTGACTTTGTTGTGAACCCAATGGATGCATTGTAATTTAGCTAGATATGCTATTTATATAGAATGCTATTTCTGCATTAAAAAAATAAAAATTGCTACGTAAAGTAATAATATTCATTGAAGAAAAAGTTTCAGCCTCATTCATTTTCTACAATACCACTTATCATATGAAACAGGCTAATTTCAATTCTGGACCAAAAATTTTAATGAAACACAGGGGTATGAAATGGTACAGACCAGAATAAGCAGTTACAAGATGGGTGAACACATGATCTCAAAACGTTGTTATTGTACCTCACTTAGGAATGTGTTCAAGTCACATGTCTTCAGGTTCAGAGTTTGAATAATATCTGGAGACGTCATGTTGTGATACTGCAGAACTTCACTATAGTTACTTTGCGTGATGCTTCCCTCAGGAAGATCAAATGTGTTCATCAATGCCAATATATTCCTAGAAAAGACAGATAAAGAGAGCAGGATATTAAATACATTTAAATGTGATACGACCTGATCTCCCGCATTGTTCTATTAGTCTAATTAAACTGCAAAGCTGCTCTATCCTCATCACAAACAAAGACACGTACCCGCCAAGACAGTCATCAAATCGTTCGGTGGCACGGAATCCAATGATGGAATAGATGACGGTGGCAGCGTAGATTGAGGTGAAGCCATTTATTATGGAAATAATGACCGCGTCCTGCTCACAGTTGTTACTGTACAAAAGAATGACTCCATAATATTAACATGCCATCCCTACATTACCACAATCTCTACATGTATTCTTTAGATGACATTTCCATCCTTTTGTATAACTGCATTACTTGAAATGTGATTCATGTTCATAGCCTCATCATGATAACTTACTGCACTGAGTTGTAGCTGGAGAAGGAGATGAGACCCCCAAAGGCCAAGGAGAATGAGTAGAACACCTGGGCTCCAGCATCTAGCCAGGTAGCTGGGTTCGCCAGCTCAGCTACCTGGATGGATTGAGGAGCAGCATATAAGCATGAAGGTAGCGCTTAAGAAATGAAATGGAATGACAAGCAGGCTTTTACTCGCCAGCGAGAACAATCTGCTGCATAAAGATGCCACAAGCTTGTTCATTCTGTCACGCTACTGTCAGGGTCGGTGCCCGTCTGGCCCTGTCCCATTTGTTTTATCCCTGTTTGGCCAGCAGGTGTCACTGACCATCCTGTTCCCTCTGTCTTATAGTCCTATGTCCCTAGTGTGTTTCCCTGCTCCCTGGTCTGAGCGAGTGGCTCAGATGCTGAATCCCTCCTGTCATCAGTTCAAGGCTGACCAGAGGCCAGCCTCACCTGTTATTTAAAATGTATTGGTTTTCTGTTTTCCTCTGCGCCTGTGATTGTCTTTGCTTTATGTTCTTGTTTTAGGTTTACTTCCTTGTTTAATTTTGTTCTGCTAACTTATATTCTTAGTCTTTCCTAGTGTTGTTAACCCTTAGTGTTTGTTAAGGTTTCCCAGTTTTTGTGTTTGTTAGTTGTAATTTATTCCACCTGCTTCTTGTTGTCTCATGCCTGTACTGATTGGTTGATTTTGTTATGGTTCACACCTGCCCCTTGTTAGCCTTGTTATCTGTATGTATTTCAGTGCCTGTTCTTGTTCTGTTTGTTGTTGGTTCGTTGTGTCTAACACTAAGGGTTAATTAGTCCCGATGACCAACCCATGGGCATCTTTATGCATATTTATGTCAGCCAATCATGGAGAGTGGGTGGGATTAGAACAAATGAAAAAGTTCGACCTAGGAACCCTGCACAGGTGGTGCCTCAAAATGGCGATTACCACAGTGATTATGCATCACATGATGTCATATGCTGTCAATTTTGTCTGAAGATACAACCAGCTTAACTGTTGAAATCTACAAAGAAATCATCTAGTTTTCCTTGGCTAAATGGACGTTCAAGTGAGCAGATGACTTCTTATCATGTTATGTAATCAGTTGTCATCATTTAACATTCTCTTATTCTTCACTAGATGTACCTCGGTGCCTTGTGTCATCTAATCTCCAAATGATGAGATACCAAGGTCTACAAAAGTTGGGTTTCCAATTTCTACATCCATGTATCCTCTGCAGGGCCATGGCAAGTCTAGCTGGAGCCTCCTGACACAAGCACAAGACACAAGGCGGGGCGACACTCTGGATAGGGTGCCAGTCCATCCACAGACTCACTATAGACGCACTATAGGTAATTTAGAGATGCCTAACAAGAGGAGAACTCTGCTCAAACGGGACTGGGGGAGGAATCCAACCTGCCCCACCCCCCTAAGGGTTAGCACTGGGGCTGTAGTACTGGGGTACAGTCTCCAGGCATTTTTCTGTTGGTTTAGATTTGTCTTGGACTAGTTCGTTTTCGCACTCAGTCTTTAACTTGGCCATTGGTCTTGGCAAATATTCTAATTGGTTTCGACCGAGTCCAGTTGCCTTTTAAAATATATGTTTTAATTCTCAAGTAACTCCTCCTTTAAAACAAAATACTTTAAAAGAAAATGGACATTGGTGTAGTTCATTCAAAATCCATCTGGAAAAGGGCATTAACATTGGCTGGCTGGTAATCAATCATATACCTGCCAAAACTCATCTTTGTGATGAATCCATGCTCATCATTTGCATTTTGGCCAAAAACATGCCGCATCTCTAGCATATATTGAAATATACTGTGTCTCTAGCATCACACAAAAATTACAAACAGGTAAGTAAGTAGTCTCAAAGAGGACTCTTTTTTCTCTCTCTCTCTTGACCGTCTCTGTCATTTGAACCTCTTTGGACTCAGTCTTGACTTGGTCTCAACTAGTCCTGGTCTTGGACTTGACAAAGGTGGTCTAGCCTAGAGCTCTAGGTTTCAGTTAAACTTTGTTGTTGTGTCCCATGCTGAACTTTTTTTTTTTGTTCTATGCATATAAAATACCATAAAATGAATACAGGGAAAAACTTACATCTGGAGTGAAGAGGAACTTTATTCCATCCACTGAACCTTTCAGAGTCAGTCCTCTAACCAGGAAGATGGTGAGGACCACATATGGCAGTGTGGAGGTCACATACACAGCCTGAGGAGAAGGGCATGTGTTTGAAACAATTATATCAGACCTGTGTGTGATTCTTAGGCTTTTGAGATGGGAGCCCTACCTTGCCAGTGGTCTCGATGCCCCTGATGCAGCAGACATAGAGCACAGTCCAGGCACATATCAGGCACAGGACCATCCACCACTGCAGGCCCCCAGAATCCTCTATGACTTTTGAAGTATTGAGGGTCTCCCGGTACCAGAAGTAATCCACTGGGGAGCTCCTGGCGCACTCTGACACCAGGCCTGCAGGGGGCGACATTCATGCTGTTTGCATGTTTTTACAACCGAATAAAAATGAACCCATTGTTCTTAAACCAGTATTGTAATACGGCACCTGTTTTGTTTTCATTGATAGGACATTGGCTCCATGGCAGCGGCTCCTGGAAGGAGTTGAAGAAGTACCACATGACCCAGGCGATGATGGTGTTGTAATACAGTCCAACCAGGAAGGAGACGAACATGGATGCGATTCCTGTGTGCCATAAAGTTCAGGAATTGCTGACGTAGTTTCAAGCATCGTTTATCAGATTGTGCATGTCTTCGGACTTTGGAACAAAAATGGGGAGCAATCTGCCCAAAATCTGAGAGTGAGGGCAGCCCAAACCCTTAAGATATGAGGCATCATAGCTGGCTTGGACATGCTGGACTCACCCACACCGGTGAGGTAGGGATGAATGGCCGTCCAGACCCCCACGCTGCCACTCCTGAGTCGCTGGCCGATGGCAAACTCCAGGTGCAGCAGGGGGATTCCCTCCAGGACCAGCAGGATCAGGAACGGGATCATGAACGCACCTGGGAACCGATATTGAGTTAAACTCAATGGCTGGTATTTCATTGCACTGTAGGTGAAGGTGTAAATTCTTTCAGGATAACGTCAGTAATGATTCTTCTGCATGCTGTGCTTATCAGCTATTTAAGCTATCTATATTCACAGGATACCATTGCATAATGTTTGTCAAGGTCATCATATCTGTACAGGAACTTGTGTGCTCGCTAGCATTTGCAGAGATCTTCTGGCTGAAAATCTTCTGGGTACTAATGCATGGGAACCTTGAATTAGATGAAACCACGGTAAAACTCTGGGTTCTTCCATGGAGAACACAGTAATGTCTGAATGTAAATGGTATTTTGTGGGTAGAGAGTTTCCCTTTTCCTGTCTTTTACTGTCTTCCAGCAAGGGACAGATCAGATAAAGCATGTTAAGGGGACACTTAGGACAGAATTTGTAAACTGACCTTTCATTTAAAAGGACCTAGATTTCACTTAAGCACTGAATTCTTGCTGTGTGCTGATTGGTCAGACACAACGCATGTGTGACTAGCGTTAATGTGAAATAGCTGGATGAGTCTTACAATCAAGGAAACAAACAAGTAAAAGCACAAGAAGAACCGGACTATTTATCCAAGCAGAGGAGCCTTTCAGTTTGTTGCTTAAAGCAGCTCAAACTGTCCTCACTGACATGCATTATCTGGTTACCATAATGGTTACCACACAGTTACTGTATATATAATAAAGGGTTTTCCCCATCAAGCAGATAAAAATGGCTCTGGATACTGATTACCCTGGGAGCACTGCTGAACCCAGAGATTTAATCCTGAGATTTTAATCTCAAAATATACCCTCCACTGGAGGTGAAGTGAGACAAGTAAGTGTACAAGCTGCATTTGAAAGCTGGCTGCTGTCACTAAGAAGAACTTCACTGCAGCCTGGCAGTGTGTCTAAACCCGCAATAAATGTTAACATGTGTTTAACGTGCTCTTAATATGTTATTATGAAGAATAACAAAAGAAAGAGTTCATATAAGGCAAAATCCATCCATTATAGAGGCATGCATACAGATTGAAATTTGTATTACAAATGAGATTTAAATTAAATATGCTTTATTTGGTATAAAATTTGTTTTTGTTTTTGAAACTTAGAGACTTAGAGATACAAGAAAAGACTTTAAAGCTCATAGTGGTTTGGTCATGAGTGTCATGATATGACATTAATTGCCTGGTTGGTCCACACTAGGACTAGTAAACTAACAATTGAGGGGTAGGTTTAGTCTATGATAGAGAGTACCAAGGATCCTGCCTGGGCTTTCAAAGCCAGGCTCCCATTGCAGCAGTAAGTGTCCCTGTTTACATCGCAGTGCATTACAGACCACTTCTGATGCCCTGTACTACATCAAAATGCATTACAGACCACTTCTGATGTCCTTGACTATACCAAAATGCATTACAGACCACTTCTGATGTCCTTGACTAAATCAAAATGCATTACAGACCACTTCTGATGCCCTTTACTACATCAAAATGCATTACAGACCACTTCTGATGCCCTTGACTACACCAAAATGCATTACAGACCACTTCTGATGTCCTTGACTACATCAAAATGCATTACAGACCACTTCTGATGCCCTTGACTACATCAAAATGCATTACAGACCACTTCTGATGCCCTTGACTATATCAAAATGCATTACAGACCACTTCTGATGCCCTGTACTACATCAAAATGTATTACAGACCACTTCTGATGTCCTTGACTACATCAAAATGCATTACAGACCACTTCTGATGTCCTTGACTACATCAAAATGCATTGCAGACCACTTCTGATGCCCTTGACTATGTCACAGTGTATTACAGACCACATCTGATGCCCTTGACTACATCTCAGTGCCGTTTGCTAATTGATTTCACTCCAGTGAACATTGCTTCCTTCCTCAAACATCTGCTTCCTGCCTGAAAATTTAATAATTGCGTTCTGCAGGCTGTAACAAATCTTCATACTCGCATAATTAATTGAGAGAAAAAAAACAGCAGCACTCAGTCATGGCACATGTGACACTTTTAAACATTTAGAGGTGTGTCAAAATGGGCTTATCGGTTCTTCGAAAAAGGGTGCTGGGTGATTTACTGTCTAATCGTTCTGTGCTAATAGCCACAATGTTTGCGCACGCCATAAAAATGGGTAATGGAAAACACGATGCGGAGAACATGAAGTACACAAGTATTTGCAGATGTGTAACCTCCTGTAAAGGGTTAATGCCAGGCAGCATTATTTTCCTGTTTGTATACATTGATGCCGTTGTACCATCTTCGCTTCTCAGTAAAACCTCCTTATTGCTCATTAACAACATTCCCATCTTACCTCCTCCGTGACTCTGGCACAGGTAGGGGAATCTCCAGACGTTACCCAGACCCACACAGAAGCCCACACAGGTCAGCATGTACTGAGCCTTATTGTCCCATTTGGGTCTGTCCCCAGCCTCCTCCACCTCCATCTTCTCCAGCTCCTGGTGGGACGGGATCCGCTCCTCCAGACCTGGGTTGGGCAGCTGCAGCTTCATGGTTCCTGGGGATCTCCTGGTGCAGAAGGTGATGGTTACCTGCCTCACTCGGCGCCGATGTCACTCTGACTGCGAGTGCAAAGTCACTGTGTATTTATAGTGACCTTTAGCATCTGACTCCCCCCCCCCCACCATCTTTACATTTTTATTTATCTCCATAATCACTTTTTTGTAGCTTGTCAGCAGGACACTGGATAGGAAGGTGAGCGCTGATTATGGATGTGACCAGGCTTCTATTTCTTACCAAATGGCTTTTCTATAAAAACCAATTGCTTGATAAGAATTTTGTGTGCCTGGTTATATGGGGGCGTTTAGAACAGGCGAATATGCAGAATCATCCTGTGTTAATTAGATGCTTATCAACATCTTCCTCTCTTTCCTTTGGGTTGGTTTTAACTCCCAACAGCCCACGATATGCCGTTACAACCCTGTAATGAGGAGAATAGACGAGTGATATTGCTCAAGCTGTGAAATGTAATAATGCTTATTGCCGAAGGGTAATAACTAATACATGTCACCAAAATATAACACATCATTATTGATTTCAGTAGCTCTTGTAAAATGAAATGATACATAGACTTGGCTCCTTGTTACTATAAACACAAACAAATAAGAACATTTTAGTATACAAAGGTTAGGGGTTTTAAACTAATATTCTGAAAGAAAGCCAGGGGGTGCAGATCTGATGCCTTGACGGTTGTGGGTGTCACATTCCCAGCTTGTTTCCTTGTGTTCCTGTTTATTTCCTTGATGCTCACGCCTTCTTCACTCATTCACTCACTCATTTTGATTTTCCCAGAAATAAGGCATAATTCTGGGCCCTTCATTGTCGAATCACAAACTAAACTGTTTCCGTTGAAAAATAATATTGCTGCAAACAATTGAAAGTGATTTACATATAAACAATAGGAACAAACAAACAAATGCATACTATATAGATATAAAATACATCAATTATATTTAATGTTATATATATATAAAAATATATAAAAGAAAGGATTGTATAATTATATTTATAGAAAAATGTTGGCAAGATAAATTATCTTGTCAATGATTAAGTAAAATTGAGACATGGATGTATAAACATTGATTTTCTTGTGCTTGAATGTAGCTTGTCATGTTGGTGTGTGATGAGTAAAGCTAAACCTGACGTGAAGCTATTCAAAACCTTCTCCACATCTGAAGGTGAAACTGGAGTTAATAGCTAACCCTCACGGTCGGGCTAGTGAGCTTGAAACACATTTGAGAAAGCAGCAACTTATCTATAATCCCAATTTTACATAAAAAGCAAACACACCAAACACCATTTTTAAAGAATGTTATAATTAAGTTGTCAGGCCCAATTAAATACATATATTGCTATGCTGCATAGTTTTATGTTTCCATATGTGTTTATAAACCGTGTGGAACTTTGGAGGTGGGTGTGCGGTCCAGTGACTAATGAGACTTTTGTGATCTTCGTGATCAGCAGGTTGGCAGTTTAAATCCCAAAACTGGCAGAATAATTTCATGACTGGGCCCTTGAAAAAGGCCCTTAACCCGTTAATGGGCCCCAAGAATGGACTGAACCTGATTTCCCGAAATGTTGCTTTGGATCTGGATCTGCTAAATAAGTGATATATAGTGATATATAGTGATATATAGTTCTTGTCTACAAAGCAGAAATGATATGAACATACTTCTATAATGATGTTTAACAGTAAATTGCCGTCAAGGCAATTACTCAATAACTTACTTGGGATTATGTAAAATAAAATTTGACTGCTTGGTTGAATGATTCAGGGATTTTAGGTTAAAAAGAGCTTTATTGCGGCAAAATGATTTAATCAAAAATACTTTAATGTTGCATTTGAAGAAAAAAAGATGACTTTTTATGTATATAATTTTAAGCTACATTGTTCTCAGAACTTCTTTATTACATAACTATGGAAAATGAGCTGCGATTGAATCCCGGCTCACTTCGACTTCGTACTGCATAAGCAGTTACACAGGATGGAAAGACAGGATGAATGGAGAAATAACATTTGCTAATAAGTTTGTATATTTGGCTGTGACCGTTCGGGATATTGAACCTTGGTAATCAACACCATATCCTTGATCCCCTGACTATCTGCTGAAATTCTGGTCTGACCACCAATCAACTAAGGCCTGACTTACAATATTTTTAAAAACAGTAGCACCCCAGAAGATTATCTATTTCCCTTAGCAAATATTACCTCAACTTACACAGTGTCAACAGCAAAGAAAATGGCCTTTGAGTGAATTCTTTGTCATTGTACCTTTCGGGTGATGATGTCATTTGTACAGTATGTCTGTATCCTTACAATAACACATGGAATATAAACTGTTAATAAGTAGCAGTTACACTGATTCCAGGCTCATCTGTATTTTATTGTCCCTCAAGCAGCAGTGCCTTCTTATTTAAGCAAAGGCTGTGGCAGGAATCGCTGCCCCGGGTGTCCAGGCCAGGATGACGATTGTCGCGTAGATACAGTGTGGATACTGAAGCTTGTCCAGGGTGGGAAACCTTAGCCGAAAATAAAAGAAAGTCATTTATACACTGACAGGCAGGGGGCGCCATAAAGGGGGGACAGTTAGGAGAATTCCAAGGGTCCCTGAACGACAAGGGTCCTAAAAAATTTAGGTGACTATTGATAACATCAGATGTGCCACTACTGGACAGATAAAAGTAAACTTGCCATGGCTAGTCACCAAGAAGCCAGTTCAAAGAAATTCTTTTCACACTTTCCAAAGAAACTGTTGTCTTGATGTGTCAGAATAAGTGTCCTTTCTGCCAAGGTGGTCAGATCATTCATGCAGACTTGTCCATCCTTATCTGCGAGTGTACAAACTCATTTTTATTGTCATGGCACGTGTCGAAAGTCCATTCTAGACTTTTTATCTTTGATGGAAGCTTTTTTTTCAGCCAACTGATAAGAACGACTCTGCCTGGATATTGCACACAGGTATATTGTCGCTGAAATAATCCTCCTGGAAAACCGTTTCCTGTGACCTCTATCCAGAGCAACCTGCTCTTTCAACAGCGGAGATGATACCATGTCAGCCTTGGAGATTCCAGCTCAAAAGCTACAGTACGTTCTGTGATCCTGGGTTTTTTTTTTTGATATAAGGAGTCCAACTTGGGTCGTAACATTAAACATACTAAATCACGCATGAGTTCTGAATCAACTGCATACCTTTGTTTGGATTTGTTCATGAAGAACAAAGAAATCCTAGTGTTTAGCACAAACCATTAACGATGCACCTTGCCAGAACATTTCACACCCATACGTTGGTAGATTTGGTGCAGCCGGCAAATCCTCAGCATTTTTTCCACATGGCCAAACTATGACGTTGGGAGACTCATCACCTTTGGCTGATGCTACCTAAAATGGCTTTTTGGGTCTATTTCAGTTGGTTTTCTGTCTGCTTTCCCCACATGTAAGAGATCCAAAGTGTGTTACACAGGTGTTAATCTGCACATGCCTACTTCTCCATGTGGTAAATATAAATATAGTCGGCTGTCGAATTTTGGCCGTGCCCACAGAGGCTGAATTTTTTATTGGGTTATGTGTTAGTATAACAAGATGTTTTGCGTAAATCATTATTGAATAGTGTCAAATAATGCAAAATATTATTGAGATCTACTTGCATCTTATTATTCTTCCAGCTAAATATACATAAGTGTTATCCCTTCAGAAAAACTATGAATTCTTTTTTCATTCGTGCTTTCAGTACATTTGTGCACATTTGCACTTCGTGCAAAGAGATTGAAATAACTGCCCCTTATTTCACTGATATGTAATATATTATAACATTGTGTTGTTTAACTATTAACATACGTTTTCAGGAACTTGTGTATTACTAGTCCATAATTACCACGATTTGACCCTTTTTTTCGGTTGGGTTAAATTTCCTTGCTCGGAGAAAACAAATTATCAAAATCTTTAGTAACTGTGATCCCAGGAACATTCACTAATCTAGGGCAGCATCACAGCCCCTGTCACTCACAAAGCCTTTAACGCAAATACAAAGCAGAAATGTGTAACCACCTCATCTGTTGCTTGGTAACAAGTCCCCCCCCCCTTCTTACCTCCTCCGTGACTCTGGCACGGGTAGGGGAATCTCCAGACGTTACCCAGACCCACACAGAAGCCCACACAGGTCAGCATGTACTGAGCCTTATTGTCCCATTTGGGTCTGTCCCCAGCCTCCTCCACCTCCATCTTCTCCAGCTCCTGGTGGGACAGGATCCGCTCCTCCAGACCTGGGTTGGGCAGCTGCAGCTTCATGGTTCCTGGGGATCTCCTGGTGCAGAAGGTGATGGTTACCTGTTGTCAGTGTGTTTCAATGCACAGATGCATATGAGATAATGTATGTAAACCACGTCATTAGTGAGGTAGTATGGGGGGCATTTACCATTGTTTCACCTAAACCCTTCCCACCTTAATAGATCTGTGTTGGCTTCACTATATCAGAGGCCACTAAAAATGTCTCTGGACTATGTACTACTTTGCAATTTTGCATTTATATCCAGAAAGCATGGTGCAGGTTTCATAGAAAAATGCACCATAAAATTCTCTTGAATACTGTTGTTAACTCTATACTAAGTTCACACTATTCGAAACAGTTACAGATTAAACATTCCTTTGTCAATCAGTGCCTTGTCCAGTTACATTACAGTGTCAATGCACAGATGCTGTTCCGTGCATGTGAAGTTTGCGTGTTCTCTTCATGTCGTGCAGGTTTGATGTGCTTACAATGACTGACTCCCGCAGTCCAAGAACACACGGTTATGGGAATCAGCATCTCCAAACTGCCATTTGGGCGTGTGCAAGAGTGCAAGGCGGAAGGATGAACAGGAATAAACCAACAATGACCTGTTCCAGCCATTAGATGGTGAACAACAGCTTGGGTCCATGTCTTCTTATCTTCAATCCTCATTCAGCATGTGAAAAAACACACCACTTCAGACACACTGTGGGATGATGTACCTCTTCTCCCCAGTGATTCAGGCCCAAAAAGCTCCTTAAATGCCCTAAAATGGCCACACGTGTCCCAGCTAGGTGAGACCCCCAGCTGATATGCAGACACATCTCCCAGCTCACGTTTAATCTCCGGACAGACAGCCCCAGAAGGAACCTTGACCTCTCTGGCGTTAGTCTCGCCTGATACGTATTAACGTGCGGAGATCTTACTGAGAAGGAATGATTAACAGATGTGGACGGCACTGAAAATCAAGGAGTGCTGAGGTACGGCAGAGAGAGTCGGCTCTGATCCGCAAGCATCCAATTAGTCCCATGAAGTGATTAAGAGGTGGGATAGAAATTTTGGTAACACTTTAAAGCCATGTTTTTAGTAATTTATAAACACATTCATAACAAATAATAATGCATTTATAAAGCATTATAACCATGGCTATAAATATTTATCTAAAGGAATAACACATTATAGCTGTTAAGATCGCGGCGATCGTGCAGGCAGGAAGCGGCGAGGGACGAGGCCAGCAGGCAGGATTGCGGGAAACGAGGGTTTATTCGGGGGAAACAGGGCAGACAGCGACGCACAGAACATCAATGACGGACACCCAACTAAGGAAGACGTGGACTAATATACAGTACATGAAACAAGCCGAAATAACAGGGAACAGGTGATCACAATCGGGAATTAACACGAGGTAACAAGGGGGGCGTGGCACACTGGAGGAGCGAACGAGCAGGTCATGACAATAGCCATGTTTATTAAGGATTATGACTGCCTTATGAAGGTGTCCTCTATAATGCACCATAGATGCCTTTATTATGTGTTTTGCCTTTTTTATAAATATTTATAGCCTTGTTTATAATGCTTTACAAATGCATTATAATGCATTATGAATGTGTCTATAAATGACTAAAAACATTGGCTTAAATAAAGTGTTACTGAAATTTCCAACCAAGGAAGAAAATATTTTATTGCATAATTGGTCTAACAGTCAAACTAAAGTATAAACATAAGTTCCCCACACTGTTCAAATAGGACACGTGCACATCGACCAGTGCTGAGGCAGTGGGCAAAGTTAAACAATATTCTCAGGTAGATATAGGGCCCTCTAAGCAGGGTTAGATGACTGCATAATTCAATGACACCATCATCTAAGATGCTACAGGCTAAATCTTCCACGACATCAGGCCAACATTGGCGCCTTGTGTACCGAGCTCAGGAAGACAATCTCCCACTATCAATCCCGTCAATCAACTGCGTCATTGCATTTCAGCTGTGTTAATAAACATTCCTTAGCCTTCACAAGTTTCTATGCAGGTCACAGTGGGCCGTCGATGACCTTGAGTTGACCAGAGGTGTGAAGAATCCTGCTCTCTTCATTCTTTTTCCAATATAACAGTTCTATCATGGCAACCTGTTTGGCCTAGAACAGCCTCCGGTATTCCGAGCTGCATATATCGCCTCAGCAGTTCTGCTTGTGTCTCGTTCCAGATTACAGAACAGGATGTGAACCCACATCCATGAGGTGTCTGACATCCGACCGCAAAAGGATAAGACTCGTGTTTTTTTAGACTGCTCAGATTTTCCCTCCTGAGAAGAGATCCGGGAAAATCCCACGAAAAGCTGAACCGGAGAGTCGCCCTCTGCGATACTTAAAAGATCCTCTCTGTATCTCCAGACATCTTGATTTTAGATTACTGTTGATTACGTTGTTTCTTCTCCTGATATTAAACCATGTATCAATCTCTTGGTTGTAACTCAGTTACAAATATCACTTTACATTGACATATATTCCGTTTAGCAGATGCTTTATCCCAAGCGACATAGAAGTGCAGCGAATAGCGTATTACAAACATATGGCGAGTGACCAGACAGGCACATCTGCAGTTACGCTGAACTTCCAATGAAAGCCCAGGTACAAGTGTAAAGCAGTACAGAAGCAAGGACTACATACCATCGTCAACAAAGTAAGAACCTATTAAATCTGTCGAAGAGCTAATTTCCAAAACTTAATCAGGTCACCAATGACCTCAAGTCAGGCTTCCTCATCATATCTTATAATACTGGCAGCCAAAACTCTATCAGTCCCAATGGAATCCAATGAAGCAGAAAGCGTGACATTAAGATCATTCAGGGCTGACGGAGTGGTATAGTCTAGTAAAGGCATCGCTGAAGCAGATGAGTCTTGAAAGTGGAGAGGAGAAATAACTCTATTATAAGGAAATGCTTGCAAAGTTATGCCACGGCGGTGAGTGGTTACTGTGATGAGAATCTGATGCCTAGATGAGATCGGCAGGCAAGATCATGAAGCATGGATGAGCTGGAACCTCAAGGCTGAGATTTTATGGCTTTGGGACAAAGTCAAGCTCCTTATCAGGAAAGTGATCCGCAGCAGTCTGACGAGAGAAGTACAGTGACCGTCCATTCAGGTAAATTACCTTCTCTCTCTCTCTCTCTCTCTCTCTCGCCCCTGCAGGTGAGCAGACCTGATGATTCATAATATTTCAGCTTTAAAGTAAATATAGCAGAAAGAAAGCTTCACAAAATTACTTTCAGCATGAGCTCACCATGTTGTTTTCTATGGTGTGGAAGTGGTATCATTTTTAGCTCCCATTCTTTTTTTTGCCCCCCCCCCCCACCAGTGTGCCATCCTAAATATGTACCCCAGTCCATGAGCCGCATGCCTTTTAATAGGCTTGCCTCCCTCTTATCTTGGTGTGATATGGGCAGGGCCTTTGCCAGGCTGATAAGGGTTAGGGACATTCCGTGCTGAGCCCAGAATCATTCCAGTCACTCGCCAAAACACAGTGTACCCGTGACTTTTCCACCTGGGTGGCAACTGTGCAGCTGGGACACGTGTCCCCTCAAGCAACAGAATCAGGAAACACGGCATCCTTTGTCCAAGAATCATTCATATGGCTCCACATTTTTCCCCCATATTCAGCAGTTTAGCTAAATATATTACACTCATCCTGCCATATTTATAAAACTCATCCTGTGGTTTAGTACTTAGTCATGTGTTTTTAAAAGTGCATCATGAGTTTAATGAAATACAGCATACAGTTTACTTATAAGTCAATTGATGCGTTTTTCCATTACCTTTCAATCCAATATGAATATGAAAATATGAATACAAATAGGGAACAGACACCAACAGACCCTCACAGACACCAACAGACCCACAAAGACACCAACAGACCCTCACAGACACCAAGCTTTTAATTATTTGGACTGGTTGACAGTCAGAAATCTACCACAAGGCAGCTACAGAGGATCTGGACAGCTGCGTTCCAACAAACAAAGGGACTTAATTACTTCAAAACTGACATAAAATCAGGATAAGGCCCCTCGAAATAAAAACTCCTACAAACCCAAAGAACCACAGTAATATAAGCCCCCAAGACCACCCACATGCAGATGCAGTTCTCTTCCCCACCAGTCCATCCAAGAAAAAAAAAACGAGGCAATTAGGCTGAACAGGGCCAGCCGGGTCTCGTTAGTGGGTCACCTGTAGACTCGGAGCTAGAGAGTAGTCAGAAGAGATCACCAAACCTATCCGTGTGCAATTAACCTGCTGTCTACCGGTATATAATATACAGATAAATATATCATAGACACATAAAAGATAAATAACTCATGGAATGGTTATACGCAATATCTTCAAGCACAACAGATACATCTCTTCTGTGCCTATGATTCCTCGGAGAATTGGTACAAGCTCTCAGTTACTTTTACGAGACCTGACAAGTAGCTTTTATGAGAGCATATAAGCTTCAAAAATCGCCCCTTTGACTGACGTCGGCCTGTTGCTAGATAAGGGTGCGTTGGTCTCTTTCTTCCTGATTGAAAATATGCCATTAAGCTGCTATATTGCGTTTGCAGTAAAGCACTATAAATGGTAGCTTATATGAGGCCCACTATGCGTTAAGGAGCCGCAGCCATTCTGATATTTTTGGCCGTTCGTTTATTATTGCATACTACACTGAATTCATAACTCGTGCTTAATGTCATATTTTAGTACATTCTCAGTACAGATGCACATGCATAGAGAGCCCCGGTCAACTTGACAACTTAACGCCGATCTTTAATACGCAGATATAAAAGGACACACTAGCAGAGTGATGTAATATAAAGCACTTAAATGTGAAGCACTTAATTAAAGGTAGGCCTACCGCAAAACACCAGCAAGTACAGTTACCAAGGCAACCGGGTAAAAATAATGAAACTAAGCAACACGTGGGTTCGCAACAGCGCAATAACAAAGTGCAGCGCTGCCCTCTAGTGTTGGTAACCAGAACTTACATCGGTGTATTGACACGATTAGTTTAGGCAATGAATAGGCTATTTCTTAATTTTGTTAAATCCATTACATAGTAAGATACATTTTAATGAGTATAAATATATTATGTTAAACATAACTGCTGTTTGAGACTTTAAGTATAATCTCTTGTGCTCTGGAAAATGGATGCATGTTGCATATTCAGACACGCACGCGAAAACTCGTCCTAGTTGCATCTCACGTTGACATCACGGACCTCCCGTTATTAATCATCAGATGTGGGTGTGATATAATAAACGAACCAGGTCTTTAAAACTATTGAAACAGATCGTGTTCAGTGTACACAAAAGAAGTTATTCAGAAACCAAAAAAGCTATTGCCTACCACCAAACCCGCGAAATAAAACTAAAGTCTACTTAACTAGCGGTTCGAGAATAAAAACATTACATTGATAGTATGTGGTATGAAAATAAAACAACAAAAGGAGTCCTAAATAAATGCAGACACAGTGACCACAGCTGAAACATTAGTACTTGCATACACCAAATATTATGGGCTACCGACGAACAACAAATATGCAGTCGTTACGATCTGAATCGGATCATAACTGTCTCCTTCGTTTGTTGGGGCTGCTTAGAAATACAAGGAAAGTCTATAATCTTAGCTGCTTCTAAACTAAGCAAGGGTTGGGTTATAAACTAAACAAACACAGTACAAAACGCTGTATAAACAGCACCATATAAACCAACGTCATATATTGTCATAAGGGTAACTGCAATATGTATAATTCAGAGATGAATCGCAGATATAAATGCCTAGATAGAAAAATTACTGTTACAATTAGGCCTACTACAAACTACTGAGCAATAGTCGAACAATTGATAGTTTTAAGGGGTTTAAATGTTTTTCCCCACCTATTCAGTACTAGTATGTGTTAATAATTCGAAATAAGTAAAGGTTGCACGAGGAAATATGAGAGTAATAAGTGTATAAAATATGGATTAAATTGTTAACTATACCACTCCGACACTAAGCATCATTTCACAGCACCTCACGCAATAATGTCATTTTCCGCTTTCGGGCCCGGTTTTTAGCAGTCTGTTGGCCGCTGGAGGTCGCCGATACACTTGCATGTGAACTATGCTTTACGTGTGGGGGGGAGGTTTCTCCAGAGGTCTCCTGCAGAAGCCGAGACTGGCAGTCCGTCCCTGCACCCTGCCTGCTCGCAATGCCATTGCGTCGCGCTGTCCTTCTCAAGACTGGGGGGCAAAAAGGCACATTAACGCGAACTTAGCGGGACATACGAAAGGGATAGAGACGCCGCTTCTTGATGCATTGGAGTGACAACTCGTCTATGGGGATCCGACGCGACAGATAAAGCACTATTAAGCCGTGCAACCTGCACTCGGTTTGTTGTCGTTACGCAGCGGTGACCGCCGTCGCGAGAATCCTAATCATCAGACTGGACTGTCCCGGCATCCGTGCATGGATGCATCATGGCCACTTTTGTGTGCAGGGTTCAGTTTTTAGATGACACCGATCCGTTTAACAGCACCAACTTCCCCGAACCGACGAGACCACCTCACTACACCTTCAGGGAGGATATTCCTCTAATAAACCAGATCGCCGGAATCCATCGGCTTCTCAGAGCGCCGCACAAGGTACGACGGCTTAACTTAATTTCCCTTAAATTAAAACTTAATAGGGGCACTGCGTGGTGTCTGCATATAAATCAGTTGCGTAGTTCGTGCTGTGAAAATGGGAAAACTAATTTGATACATCATAGGAAAACTATCAAAACAGGCATATGGGGTAAGAAACAACCTGCATTGAACTTTGAATTCACACCATGTGAAATGTAATACACTGTTACGATCGTCATTTTTGCACATGTATATTGAATTGTCATGCTCAGTTAACTGCATGGGCATTCTCAGTGTTTCGACCGAATTGGTGTGCAGCCGGTATGTCACCTTCCTATTCTAGGGTTTGGGTTTCTTATGTTCAATTTTTGCTAGATCTGCCTAGCATCTCCGGTGCCCAAAGTCCTCCATTCGTGTAGAAGCAGCCGCAGAAAAACCGCAGGACGGAGCGGGCAGCAGGTTCGCTGGTGCGCTGCAGTGGGAGGCGACGCGGCGGCGGAAGGGGGACAGGGCGAGCGCTGCTTTATGAGGGACAGTGAATCGTCCAGTTTCCCACTCTGAGGGAATTGTTATTTTTGTTCAGTTTTCCTCAGTGTAACGGCAAAAAACAATGAATACCTGCAAGACTGAGATCATTCGCATTATGGCATACCACTAATTACAAATTTGGAAAAAAAGGCTTTGCTTTTAGTTTTTCCGTATTTGGGATTTGGGATGTGTTTAAGGAACAGAATTTATGGAGAGTAGGGTGGTAGTTTGGTTTGTTTATTCACATTTTAGCGCAACAGGTGGATAGACACTTCATTTTAATCTTAAAGCAGGTGACTCGTGTTGGGAGGCTTGCACCATCCTGAACCCAGGGGGGGGGGCGTAAAGATGGGGGAGGGGGGAGTTAGGATGATTCCAAGACCAAGAGTGACAGGGACGCAAAAAAAAAAATTGGAACATAAGTGGATTGGTGGCCCAGTAAGGGGCAAAAATCAATAGCGGCATCCCTGTTTGTACCGCGGAGGGGAGTGTACTGGTTCTCAGTGTACCGGTCACCATAGCACCTGTCTGTTTAGCCTGGTCAGTTACCACGTGTTTTGTGATTAGTATCCATGTGATACGCTATTGTGAAGGGCACGGTTTGCTGGTTCTTCAGCACAGAATAATCCACGTCTCCCTTTCGTGGGTGCTCCTGTAGCTGTGATTTGCACTAACAGTGTAGAGGTTGTGGGATTGAATCCCAGGGAGTGTACATAAGTCATAGTCTTTCCATCTGCTATAATTCACTTTGGGTAAAAGCATCAGATAAATGAATTAATGCAAATCTTTCATAAGAGCCATCAAATTCTTGATAGACTGTGTGATCAGCATGAGGTTTAGCCCTGTATGTGATCAGTGTGAGCCAATCAGGTGAAGCGCAAGGTAGGGGTAATTTCAGATTAATTCATGTTCGTCTAATTCAGTCCCAAATAGAGAAATGTGCCTTGAACCCGTAGCTCCGGATTCCTGCCACCCTACATACGACAAGCGTGTATAGAAAATGGATGGAGGCGTTAGCATAAATTATGGGGGAGATGGGGAAGTTGTCACCTCCTAATAATCAAAACCAGTCAATACAACCCCCTGGACCCCCTTAAATGGGTGGATGCCTCAACCCCCCCCCCCCCAACCCAAAGTTATGCCCTTGGATGAATATATGTTGAAATGCCTGGGCACTGAATCATTTGCTTTCGAAGCATTCTCTTTTGAGCTGTTTTCCTAATAGGCAAGGCATCCCGTTTCTAATCCACGTCTATTTCTGAATGCTATTTATTTTTTATCACGTCTGTATTCCTGATATATTGCGCAATAACACATAGCCAGGTGACTCATATCACAGTTCTTACTCATAGGTAAAGAAGCTTTTGGAATCTGGTAGGATTTCAGCTCCGCACAGTTTGCAACTGCAGCGGCGCATGGAAAATAAGACGGAATAGTCTGGCCTGGTGGCCACTTGGCTGCCCTGGGCTCCAGGAGGTTGTGGGTTCTAAGCCAAAGTGAGTCACGGCGGAGCAGGTTATGTAATCCGGGCCGGTGATTGTCCCGCAGTTATATCAGCATAGGCGTGTTATAGGTCATTTAACCGGTCGTTCCAGAATCTACCAGGAGAGCAGAACGATAAAGCAAGTGTGCGCGCGCACAAACAGTCCCGTGCGTTTGCTGCCGTCCGCCCTGCTGCGTGAAGGAATTCTCGTGTGTGATTTGTGGTCAGCCCATCCCGGATCTCCTTTATCGTCGTGACGTGGCCCATGTAAAAATGCTGGAAGAGGAAATGTTTTCGCCGCTTTTTATCTTCTCCACGTGGCAGGGCCGCCGTCCGCCTGCCAGCCTACCTTAAACGGATGGGCTCCCCGCTCTCCTGCTTGCACAGACATCCCTGGGATTTACGGCCCGGCTCCTGGAAACGCTCGGAGCGACTTGGACGTCTGCAGGATATTAGAAAAATGTTTCATCCTTTGAGCCACCTGTGCTATTCTGTCAGGAATCCTCGCTCAGGCAGACGCACGAACACACACACACACACACACACACACACACACACACACAGGGCTTTCTTCAGCTTACGGGTTGTGCATATTTCCAAGCAGAAGCATTAGTTAGTCAATGAACTAATTATTTGTAATCATAACAGTAAACATTACAGTGCTGGAGTTTTAAAACAGAGCGCAGTTTTAAGCTGATCGCTGCCCCTAGTCCTGAAATCAGTCTATCAGTAGTGATAATGTCGTAAATTTACGTGAAGCACTGACAGTCAGTATTGTGATATAATTCAGTGAGTATATCAAAAATACCATCTGCCAGTGGTAATGATTTTGTTTATACAGCCTGTCAGACCTGCTGTGTGTAAAGAAATACTACCTTTCAGTAATGCTGTTATTTCAAATTTATAGTTAAAAGGTATGATTACTGAGTATATTGAGTAATAAAATATGTGAAATGAGGCAATATGGAAAAAGAATTTGCAGGATATCTGGTAAATTCAGGTGCTATTTGGAGGGGAATCTGTGAAGTGAATTGGTAAACAGGCTAGTCATAGGCTAGGTTATGGCTTTCACACTAATAGCCAGAATGTGTGATGTGTCTCTTTCTGTCACTGACCATATGGTAGTTTTTCCAGACAAATGCTGTTCTTTTCTCACCGTACTTCTGGCTCGGTCATCAAAATGATTTGTTTAAGGCGTTTGTTTTGCAGCCCCTGGGTCAGAAATGGCGGCGTTTAGATCCTAGCTGACCGTGTGGTTACGGGAAGGGTGTTTGCTTAGGACGTGTTTCCGATACGGTTAACAGAAAAGGTTAGGGTTAGGGTTAGGATTAGGGTTAGGGTTAGGATTAGGGTTAGGGTTAGGGTTAGGGTTAGGGTTAGCGCTCCGCTGGAATTCACAGTGTGGTCACTGGGGGGCGGTCGTGCCGCGGCTGTCTTTGGTAGCCATTAGTGCTGGGGAGTAACGAGGAACCGGCATATGTTGGCGGGGTATATATTTAATGCAGAGATTCTTTTATCTAGAGCAGCCCCCCCCACTTATATGGCCAGACGTTTTAAGTTTTATGAGTTTGTAATTCACTTCACAGTTTGCCATTGGAAGGGACCCTCTCTTGGGATGGTGCAGGTGGGGCAGCCCCCCCCCCCCCATAAAATATGATGCATGATTTTATGGGGTAAAAGTGTTGAGGTGAGACACAGCAGAAACCAGTTACACAAATCCACACACAAATTAGTTATCAACATTTTTGTGGGGACTTTATTTCAGTTTAATCCCAAATGTGACTAATTTGTAATCCCAAACTCCTACCCAGCCCTAACCTTAACCATAAGTTGCCAAATAAAATACAAGACTTATCGCATTTTTGGTTTTTTGATTGTAGTCATAGATTTTTTTTTCTTTTTATAAAAATGAGTTTCCCCTTGTGGGAACTGAAAAAAATGGTCCCCCACCAGGTTAAAATAACAGGTTTTTATCACATTGTGGGGACATTTGGTCCCCACAATATAAGACAGAGACACAAGTTTCCCCCATGCTGTGTGCTTGAATGCTACAGGACAGGTCAGTCTGCCATCTGTTATAAATAGTTTTTATGGTCAGACCGGGGGTGCGGGGTAGTTGGGGAATGCCCCCCCTCTCCCACACACACATATGCCTTTTTCCCCACATAATGTACTTCTAACATTTTTAAAAATGTGTGTCCGGGTGCCCCATGCGGGCAGCGAGGGTGGGGTCACACTGACACGTCATTCTGTGGTTCTTCAGCTCCGGCCGTGATTTGTGAGCCCCCACCCCCCCCAAACACGCGACTCTCTTACCGGTCAACCCCAGCATACTGAGGAGAGAGGGCGGGAAGCTGATCGCCCCAAAGGCATCCTTTTTTGATGTGAGCGGGTCTTTAAAAACGTTTTTGAGTGCTTTTTCCTAACATTTAAAAAAAATGCTTGTTCTGGCAGAGGGGCAGCCCCCGATTTTCCGTAACCCAGAGCCGAAAGCTCCCCGCGTTACTACGACCGTGGATCACTTTAACCCAAAGTTATCTCAACTCCAAAATACAGTCTCATATCTGCACGTTCCGTCAAGTGTTTAGACTGTGAGTAAGATGTGGGTCCCTCACCTCGCCGTAGCCTGTAAGGGAGAGTGCTCATTTCGTGGCCTAAAAACGCCACCGCCCTGCCTCCGTGGCTCCAGCATAGTAGGGCATGGCTTTGGGTTTCAGGGCGGAGGTGGCCGGCAGTCAGAGCCCATGGACTACAGACCTCGGGGTCAGGAGCGATGGCCCTGTTCAGGGGGACACGGGGCGGTTAACATGGGTCGCGGTTATCCCAAATAGTCCAGCTAGGTGGGCAAGCCAGGGCTGAACGTCACGCAGCCGCTCCAACATGGCAGCAGAGCACGTGCGTGTCCGGTGCCGGCCTGGCTGATGGTTTGAGCTTTCACCTCTGGATCAGGGGCAGCTGCCTTTACAGACTGCTGGGTAATTACTGGTTGTGTTTCTGTAGTCTCCTTTTTTTTCCACTCGCAGAAGGTTTTTGTTTTTAATTCACTAAATGGACAGCGCTTTTAAGTGGGGAAAAAAAATTAAAACACAAAAAGGTTCAGGAATTTAAAATGACACTCGAGGATATTGTGGCTGTTCAATTTTAGATGCTGAATAGTGTTGCGCTTTTCTTTTTTCAAATTGTCCAGATCTGTAGGTTTCTGTGGTTTTTTAAGGGTGATATAGGGGCATATATAATACTGGTATGATAGCTGTGAATGAGGACATGCCTGCAAAGCATTCTGGGAATTCAGTTGGCACCATACTCCTGGCGAGAAAAGCAGCTTTGCTGTCAGTCACTTGACTATGGGGTCAGTGAACACATAATGGTGGACAGGTGTTAACAGTTTGCTATCACTTCCATATCCCTCCCCCAACCTTCATTCCCCTCAGTCTAATCCACTGCTGGAGACCATGATGTCTTACCCATCTGCAAGTGTCAAGCTGTGTGAGTCCATCCAGTACTTGACGTGACGCAGGTGTTTGGGCATAAATTTAGACGAGGCTAATTTTGGTTCTACGACCGCGTCATTATTGGTTGACAGTTGTCCCTGTGGATCGAAGGCTTGCAGATTCAGGAGGTTACTGGTTTGAGTCCCGTGGAGGATAAGGCTTGAGTTCCATTCAGTGTTGCACTTTCCATGAGTGAGATCATGACCATGTGAGTGAGATATCGACGTTTATAAACGGCAGCTGTGAGAAGCTGCATGTGATTTCTGAATGTGTTCCCAGGTCTTTGCTGTTTGCAGGGCTAAGTGAAGCCTGGGCAGACAAAGTACATTTCTTCAGAAGTAAAAAAGCTAGAATTAGAGTTGGAATTAGAATGAACTTTATTGATCTCAGAGGGAAAGTCCACGTGTCGCCAGAGTCTCCTCTAGGCATTCTGGCGATGGACAGGAACCCTGTCCAGGTCGCAGCCCAGCTTTGTCCTCCTGGCTGCTTCTGACCGTGACTCAGGAGAAGATGGATAGATGTGTAAACATCCAGGTGTATACAGATCCTTGAAAATGGTGCGACATTGCAATTGTGAAGACTGTGTTGCACGCCAGGCTTGAATATATATTCTCCGTGGAGGTGGATCTGTTTAAGCTGAGCTCGGTTTAATTAATCTCAGTGTAGCGCCTGTCCTAAACGCGTTGCTCCAAAGTGACAGCAGCATCACGGGAAAGTGGCTGATTGAAAAGTACTTATGGCCGAAAAGTGGGAGAAAGGTGCTGACAGCAAGGAAACAGGCATCAGCCTGCGTCCGCCACCCAGTCGATGGGGCATCGGTATTATAGGGCCGCAGCTAATGCGCTAACACGCTTGTGTGGTGACACGCTAATGTGCTAATGTGTGAGGAGAAAGAGAGGGGGCATGGGGAAACCCCCCCCCCAGTGTCTGCTCCTGTCTCTGGGGGCATGTCCTCTGGGGGGGGGGGGGTGTTTCTTTAGGTGGCAGGCTTTATTTCCCTCTGCTTTTCCTCTGAAGCACTACATGACAGATTAGCGCATGCTATCGTAGCTAGCCAGATGTTTCACTGGACTGCCAGACACTGAGCATTTTTAACGTGATCGAAAAACTGACGTGTCCCTTAACGTCTTAACATTAGCGAGTCACACACCCAGCTTCCATTTCCTCGATTCCATTTGTTTGCGGGGAGAGGGTTTCCTTTAACACTTGCCGCATGTGGAAAGGGGACAGCAGAGATTTTGAGAATGGCTTTAGCAGAGCACTTGGTTTCGTGTCTAACGTCACTGTTTGCAGTTCTCTTCCCGTGAGGGGCTGTTTAGGACACTGCTGACGAGTTGTGTCTCCTGCTCAAGGGCCCAAAGGTGAAATTACTCTGTCACCCAAGGGATTTGAACCAGCAACCTTCTGATCTCAGGATCAGCCGGTTTGAATATGCGCTGCAGTGTGCTTCCCCTGTTCCTTCAGCCAGTTTTCGGTGCCTTGCGTCCTTCTCTTCCATCCCCCTCTGCCAGAATCGCCCCACATTGTGGTGAAAACTGGCTGTGAGTCTCTTTTTCCTCACATCAGACCCATCCTCAGCTATGACTGCTGCAGCGCCGACTTTGGGTCGCTTTGGACCATCATGGACACGCCTCCATTCCGGCCATGTGACCACACGGGGGCTGGGCCCCCGCCTGACAAAAACCGAAGTTATTATCTCCGAACGCGAAGCGTTTCCGCCGTTTCCTCCTAATTATTCTGCCAGCTTGAAATCCGCAATTGCAGAGTCGCATAACATCTCGTTAGAAGGGGATTTCAAACATTCATCTGCCACTGACCTCTCTCTCCTCGGCTATAATAGTTTATTTAAGGAAATGTTTTTGGTAAATAAAAACAGGGTTTGTTCCGTTCCAACCGGCACGCTAGAGCGTGTCGGTGCAGCCTAGGGGAAGCCAGCGCTCTGCCGTCTGGTTTTATAATGTCATTCTCACATGTCACATGGTGCGGGTGCTTAGGGAGAGACAGAGTGAGAAATCCAGCTTAGTAGCTGCTGATCTGGGCCTGAAACACTGAGCAACAAGAATCACGTTTTCTGTGGAAGATGGCAGAACTGTGGGGAGGCTGAGCTCTCGCTGAGTCATTTTCTCTGCTACAGCTGCTCTCTCCCTCTGCTGTCCCCCATTGTCTGTCTCTGACTCGCCCTCCGCTCTCTGTCTCTCCTCTCCCTCTGCTCCCTCTGTTTCTGCTCTCTCTCTCCTCTCCCTCTGCTCTCTCTCTCTCCTCTCCCTCTGCTCTCTCTGTTTCTCCTCTCCCTCTGCTCTCTCTGTTTCTCCTCTCCCTCTGCTCTCTGTCTCTCCTCTCCCTCTGCTCCCTCTGTTTCTGCTCTCTCTCTCCTCTCCCTCTGCTCTCTCTCTCCTCTCCCTCTGCTCTCTCTCTCCTCTCCCTCTGCTCTCTCTCTCCTCTCCCTCTGCTCTCTGTCTCTCCCTCCGCTCTCTCTCTCTCCTCTCCCTCCGTTCTCTCTCTCTCTGTTGTCTTTGCTCCCGCTGTCTTGTCCTTCCTCTCTCTGCCCTCCCAGATTGGCCCTTGGTTTAGCATTCCGGCTGAGGAATGTACCATGGATACAGCATTGTGAAGGTCCAGCATCCCAATCTAAGACTGGTTTTAAGTCTTCACCCCCCTCCCCCCCCCAGGCTACATAAACACACGTGTTATTTGGCCGTTTCCAGGGAATTACAGTTATACATGTGAGTAGGAGCCGAGCTCCTTTGCTTGAGGGGTGCTTCTCTAACGGGGCCTGGAGCCTATCACATACAGGTGCTTTCAGGTCAGGTCTTCGGGTTGATGTTAACTTGTGCTCCCAGTGCTAAGCTCGAAATCGAGCGTGACAAAGGGAGATCTCGGCTTCTGAGGTCGTCTGGAAGCCGATAGGAGCCGACGCGGTTCAGAGGAGCCGACACGGTCCATTTAAACTGGAGCGCCCAATTTCTGACGGAATTCCCTTTGAAGGCACCTGACTCCGAAATTGGAAGGAGACCCTTTGGCGAGCTGCAGATGTTTAAGGTAGAATGTGGTGAATTAGCAGCTTTCTGGGAGAAAACAGCCGTAGATGATGGAGTAAAATCGCTGAAATTCAGCTGTGTAAATAGGTGTGGGGAGTGGGCTGGGGTGGGGGGAGGGGGGCATCCAAACAGGCCTCAGCTGAGGAGATGGGATGCGGCGTGACTCCACGTGTCTGTCCTCCTGTCCCCCAGCTTGATGACTGCGCCCTGCAGCTGTCCCACAATGGCACCTACCTGGATCTGGAGTCCAGTCTGGCGGAGCAGAGGGATGAGCTGGAAGGCTTCCAGGAGGATTCTGGGTACGTTCCCAGCCAGGTCGTTCTGACTTTCTCCTAATTGCTCTCACCATCTATTTCTCCATCTCTTTTTCTTTCATTCCCTCTCTTCTGGCTCTCGGGACACAATTCTCCAGTTCTCTGCTCGGATGTCACTGATACAACGAGGTTCCTGAGCGACACTCGCTGGCCCACACGTCTCATGTGTGTGTGTGTGTGTGTGTGTGTGTGTGTGTGAACACGTGTGAGCAGATAGGCTGTGCTTTCCTGTCCCCCAGCTTGATGACTGTGTGTTTGTGTTTCTGTGTACATGCATCTGCATCTCTGAGTTTGCCCACCCCCTCACATGCAAGTATGACCTGAGACTCGTTTACGGCCGGAAGCAGCTCTTCCAGAAAGTGACCGACAGGAACCTTCCAGATGCATGAAGTATACATGAAGTATACATGAAGTATACATGAAGTATGCCACTGGTCGACACACCCTGCACTGCGTTATCTTGCGATTTTCATGTCATGCCAGATGATCCCTGTCGCTGGAGCCGAAGAAATCAAGGCACATGTACTGTATGAGTAGAAGGGAAACGAGAGCTGGGTGACTGTAGTGGTTTATCTCTCACTGGGATGAGTATTCTGGGTCACATGGTCTTGCTCTGGGCAGGTTGGGTGACAGAACCGCATGACACAGGGATGCCAGGATGGATTGGAGACTCTATTTGGGGTGTGGGAGTAGAGATGGGTTTCACAAAATAGTGAGGAGGAGTAAAAAAACAAAAGGTAACCAGTTCAGCGTCACCACAGGGAAAGTTAAGTGGACAATAGCTAAGGAGCAATGGGTTAGGGAAACTGTCATATTACCTCTGAAATGTGTGAGCGGACTGTATAATTATGGAATGTTTCTGTAAATATTGTGTCAGAGTGCTTATTTCAGAAGAATTTCGGCCTTGAGGTTTGGAGCCTGTCCCATCCCAGAAGTCCGAGGGTTTTCTCCAGTCTCACTTCCAAAGAATCGCTCACAAGAGTGATAAGTCCAATCCGGCCTGGTGCCTGGGTGATGTTGCTCTTAAATTTGGGTGGAAGAGCTGAAAAGGGCATTGTGGGTAATGGTGAGAGTGACTGGCCTTCAACACAATTATTGGCACTTATTTCTAGTGTGAACTGTAAAAGTACAAAACTCCAAGGTAAAATTCCTAAGCGTAATTATTACCCACTCACCCATCCATCTATCCATCCATCCATCCATCCATCTTCCATTCTGCTTATCCATTACAGGGTTGTGGTTCAATCGTTAACTGAGGCAGTTAGTTAGTTGAGAAGTGGCCTGGAAGATGGACTTTAACTACCCATTCGCCGACTTGTTTATCTGATCACTGGAGATGCGTCAGAAATTCCTGGTCCCAGTCTGACGTGAGCTGCTTGGAAAGAAGCGGCCGGTCACAATTCTCCGTCTCCTCTCTGCCCGGTTCTGCGACAGCTCGTACTGCGGGCCATTTGTCGAGGGATGTGAGGGCTGGGGATATGAAAAGGGAGGCATGGCGGTAATTCAGATGCATTGTTCGGAGACAAAACTGAGGAATTCATCCCTGGCTGACGGCTAATGGGACCTGAGGCCTTGTTAAACGATGGTAGCGACGTCTGCAGAAAGGCTCAGAATTTAAAACACTGAGTGAGTTATTGAAAACAGGTGCCTGAGTAGTTTTTAAATGAAAATACGTACGACAAGCAATGCAAAGCATTCATTGTCATAATTCCTATGGGAGATAACAGATTTTTCAAATAATCTACGGAAGGTCACCAACAGCCTGAAATAGTCAACCTCTTTATGAGGCGTTAATGTGTTTCCATGTCTAGAATCTGTGATTAAATATATTCCTGTAGGTTATGGAAATATAACAAGAGGCAACTCCAGTATGTGGACATATCTAAGCAGGAGATTGTATCGCATTTTTGTCTGAGGGAAATTCCAAAATAATCCGCTGTTTATTATTTGCGTGAAAATCCATCACGGTTGTCGCCTTTGCTTATCAGGAGGTACTTTGGGTTTCCCGTAAAGTCTGGGACCCGATTGCGGAACATGTTCGGGGGCCACCCAGACTGACGGCGTATCGCTTTGCCGTACAGTAGGTTTGTTTATGAACCTTCTGAACAGCCTTCCTCCACACTTTCACTCTGACTTGAGGAATTAGAATTCCTTTTTCCTGAAACATCCTTTGAGGAATCCCTAGTCTCCTCATCGGCTCAGTTTCTTTTTTTCCGATAGAAAAATCAGCAAAAGCCGAACTTAGACTTCAGGGGAACACCGAGTTCATGGAAAGTAGAAAAAAAAGTTGGAAAATAAATTTGAAAACAATCCTTCCTGTAACAGAACGTCGTGGTTGCATTACAGTTTGCCGTCAGATCAGTCCTTTAAGTTTTAAAGAAAAATCCAAGTTCCGGAGGAACAGTGGCTCAGCGGGTAAAGCTGTTGTCTCAGGCATCAGTGGTTGTGGGTTCAATTCCCACCTCTGTGGATTTTTAATGTTCTCCCTGTGTTTCTGGATCGTGAGATTGGTGTCTCTGAGTTGTAGTATGTGCCCTGGAATCCTATGCAGGTGCCCTGTGATGAGCCCCAGGCTCAGGTCACCCCTGTTCTAGATGGAGGGTGCAATCGAGAGTATGAGGAGACTGTGACGGACGGCTTTGCCTCTACACAGCAAGGCCTCTTTGGATTGTGATGTAACCTTCATGGTTGTGTTACCGTCTGAAGTCCTGAAAAGTGTTATCAAAGGATTGGAAGCATGTATGGCAGTGGCATGCTGGCGTGACTCTGGCGTGACTCTGACCTGTCGAGCTCCCGAGAGTCTCCAGCTTCCAGCTACACCTTCTAATCCCTGCTTGGAACATTATTCCTGTGTGGATGGAAGAAAATGGACAATCCATCCTGTTCCTCAATCGTTTTGTATGGGTCTTTTTCCTGAGGCCAGATTCCAAGATGTAGATTTGTTTTATTATCGCAAGAATAGAGTACCGTCAAAGTTCACATTTCTTTGCCAAGGACGTGACCATATCAGATACGTGGAGGATCTAACATTTGAGGTACGGCTGCTGTGATTGGATGTGGGGGGGGGGTGTCGATGAATAAGAGGACCTGCTATTGCCTGACAAAAACGAAGGAAAGACCCCTGGGCCAATGATGGGGGGGTCTCTGCTGTATCGTTATCAGTGGCAAAGATACAAATTACACATTTCAGGTATTTTGCCCCCCCAACTTGTTCATTATGACGTCTAAATAGTGGTCAGATGAGAACTGAGACAACACAAACACCTTTTTACTCTGTTTTTTATTTCTCTATATTATTATTATTTAACTTTTTTTTTTAACCCCAAAGGTTAAAGGTCAATTGTAAATTTTGAGTCAGATTAACTTTCATTGCGGGGACGTGTGACGGCTACCATAGGTTTGGTGTCCAGGGCAGAAACACAGAAGCCCCTCCCTGCTTTCACCCCCCCCCCCCCCCCCCCCTTCACACACACACACACACACACACCCCCCCCCAGCTCTGCCTTTTTTGTGGGCATCCTGACGTGTTTGCCTTTGTGGCTGTCTGTATCCATCACGGTTCGACGTCGGGTCCTGTCAGCACAGAGGAGGCCCTGCCCAGTCGACACACTTCAGGTGGATAAACAAGCGTCTGAGAATCAGGGAGGAAAACAAACCCCATTTTCAGTCTCTGTTTTTGTTATCGAGCTGCCTGCTTGCACTGCCGCTGCGCCGCTGCCGATCGTCGGATAACAGGTCTGCACACATGCTCTCCTCATATCTGGAATGTTCCGTTATCCTGCGGTGAGTCGTTGACGTCTTCCCGCAATGGCCGGATTCTGGTGCCGGGAAGCTGAGACCCCCATTTTTTTTGGAATGGTCTTACCCCAGGACAGGAGAGACCACTATGCTCTGTTCACTTATGTCAAGGGTCTTGCAGCTCAGGTGCTAAGGTCTTGCACGTTTTACACATCTGATCTACACCCCCACCCCCATAAAAGGTGACTTACTGCCCAAGTAATTGCTTTAATAACCTAATTGGGGGATGTAATCCCCTCAAGGCTTGTAGTTGGCTTTTAGTGACTGGATCCACACCCCCTTTAGATATTTTTCATGAGTTTCTATGGATTTTAGAGACACCTGCCAGTTAGCTAGATTTACACCTGCAATACTGAAGTCACGGAACTTGGTCCCTGAATAAGTACCACAATGAAAACCAGTAGACGCTTGAGTTCTTAGCCCTGTGAGAGATTTGATCATGGTGTATCACGTTATTTATTTGGATTATTTGATTTATATGAGTGAGGTATGATACATATAAAAAGCATTGTTTTTGTTTATTAATGACTGTTCTAGTGAAGACCAGTGAAGTTCCAGTGGTGGTACCCCAGACTACCATGGACTGCATTCTAAACACACCCCGAATTCTCCACCACCCAGGAATTGTTTTTCCCATGAGCTACGGCCTATGGGGGCTACACAAATGGATGGGATCGGCCAATTGTAGCACCCCTCGCGATGTTTATTGATATAATCACCGAAGTGGGCCTGTGATGTCATGTGTCAGTGTACGGGAAAGGGCTGAACCCACCTGCATGTGTGTGTCTGTGTGTGTGTGTGTGTGTGTGTGTCTCTGTGTATTCTGCCACAGTGTGTTATCTTCTCCCCTCCCTGGTGTTGTGTCTGGACAGGCTGCTCTGCTGTCCTTTCGGTCAGATGTGTATCAGGGGTGTAGAGCATGAGTGCATCCCCTTCCCCCACCCTGATGTGGGCTGCTACCTGGCACACACACCCCCCTCCCCCCCAAACACTACACAAGCCCCCCTCCCTGAACATTCACTTTCACTGGCTTGTTTTTTCATTTCTCTGTGTGCTGGGTGCCATCTTGGCGGCATCACTCTCGCTCTCAGCTGCCTCTCGGGGTTCGAGATGTTGGGAGCTGCAGCCCCGTATCCTTCGGCTGTCCTTCCTGGATCGGTGCTGAGAAAGCTGTGCCTAACCCTAACCCTCTAGCCTCCGGGGGAATGATTGTGTACGTCTGTGGCAGTCCATCCAAGCCTTGCACGTTATTGCGTCCCGGTACCCGGGGCTCACAGTGATGGATTTAAGGATGTGCTGTGTGCATAAGCCTAACTACAGTCTCCCTGTCCCCCCAACTCTGTCCAACAGGAGGGGCAAGAAGCACAGCGTGATCCTGCGTACCCAGCTGTCCGTTCGGGTCCATGCCTGCATCGGTGAGTGAGAGACGCCTTTGCCGGGTGCCTTGGGGTCTGGATACTTACCTGCCTGTAACATAAAGATGAAAAGATCCACACCACTCTTATCTTTTTGTGTAGCGGACGCTTTTATCGAAATGCTATGTAAATTTTTCTCGATGCAGTAGTGTCAGACAGGTAAAGGGCCTTGCTCAAGGGCCCAATGGTGCAATCACTTTGCCAACCGTGGGATTTGAACCAGCAACCTTCTGATCACAAGCTCAATATCCTGTCCCTCTGAGCCTCACACTAACCCCCTCCTAGGTTTGGGATGATTTTTGATTTGGGGGGGGGGGATTATAATTGGGCCCCTGGGAGAGCGCGGTGGTGTGGGACGGCCGTGCAGAGGCAGGGGCCTCTGAGGCAGAGCGCGGTGGTGTGGGACGGCCGTGCAGAGGCAGGGGCCTCTGAGGCAGAGCGCGGTGGTGTGGGACGGCCGTGCAGAGGCAGGGGCC